GACCCAAGTATCATTGCTGACGTTCAAGATGCGATCGACTCGATGGAAATGCCACCGTGTTTCTTCGAGAACCCAGTTGTCCAAGATCATCTGGGGCCAGACTCGCCAATCATACCGCTGGGGTTGTTCACTGATGGTGTCCCGTACAGCCAAACCGACACAGCGGTCGGTTTTTGGTTAGTGAACATGGTCACGCAATCTCGAGTGTTATTCGCGTTAGTACGCAAGAAGCTTGCGTGTCATTGCGGCTGCAGGGGCTGGTGCACATATTTCAATATTTTTCTTTCATAGCATGGAGCCTACGCAGCTTGTGTAAAGGGTCCTTCCCACTTGAGCGCCACGACGGATCGGAATTTCAAGATGACGATTCATACAGGAAGATGTTGGCTGGCAAATTGATGCGCGCAAGAGGTGTGCTCATCTATAACAAGGCCGACTGGGCTGAATTATCAACGACGTTTGGGTGGCCCTCATGGGGCGACAGTTTGAGGCCGTGCTTCCAATGCAATGGGTTTGGCGACAACTTGTATCTCGATGTTGGCTGGAGTTTAACTGGGTCTCCTTTCAGAGAGAACGTTGTCGGTGATTACGATTGGGCCTGTCAGATGTGCGAGCATGTTGTTGTTCTGTCGCATGACACACACAAGGCCCTGTGCGACGTGTTGTTCTACGACAAAAGATCTGGAAGCAGTTCGTCAAAGGGTCTAGCCCTTAAGGTTGCTTTGCCCGCCCTCGGTCTCCAGCAGGGGGACAGGGTGGAGCCAACAAAGTGGGTGCCAGATGTGTCAGCAATATTCAAAATCACGCAGCTTCCATGCCCAATTTTTATTTGGAGACCGTCTGCTGAAACAATTGCTCGGCATAGAAACCCAATACATGATGTCGAATTTGGCGTCGACACGTGCACGCATACTTGCATCGATTCGCTTCACGCGCTATACCCCGGCTGCATGAAGGATCTGTGTAGGGAGCTCGCGTGGGCAACGGTTGACGCTGGCCTGTGGGGCACGGCAGGGACAGTGGAGCACAATCTCGAGGTCGCTGCCATTGCGATGAAGCACGAACTTCATGGGTTCTACACCGAATGGAAAGAAACAGGTTTGAATTCGACTCTGACGGAAATCCACGCCATGAGTGCCAAGTTGTTTGGCACAAATTCAGACAGGAAGTTGAGGACGAAAGGCGCTGAAACATGGGGCTTCCTGTTATTTCTAGTCCACATGTTCAACCGTCGTTGGAAGATTCAAGGCCGCTTGCAGCGCGAATCGGTTCGACTTTTCGAGGCCGCGGAATGCATGATCAAACTGTGCTACCGCATGGATAATATCGGCTGGAAATTCTGTGACTCCGACATAGATGAGTGCTTGGAACACTGGAAACGGTTTTGTTCTCTCACCCGTCATTGTGAGCGATTGCTTACGCCAAAGCGCCACATCCTGTGGCACATGCTTCAGCGGGCTGCGTTCTTGGGGAACCCACGGTTCTACGCAAATTGGACAGACGAGGGGCTCAATAGAGTTTTGAAAGGTGCATGTCGCGAGCAGTCCCAGGTGACGTTCGAGGAGTGCGTGTTACTGTCGATGCCTTTCCTTGTGTAAAAAGTAACCCCACAAACATCACGCAAAACACGCATAACAACAATTTGCTATTTGCGTGGGAAGAGGTGTCGGACAAATTAGCACACATGTAAACAGATCCCCACCGTCTCTTCCTCCCCCATCAGCCTCCTCCCCCTTCCGAGTAACCGTGCAAATCAGCAAAGTCGAGATCCGAGGAAATAGGAAACCAGCAAAGTCGAGATCCGAGGAACAGGAAAACCAGCAGAGTCGAGATCGAGGAACCAGGGGAACCAGCAAAGTCGAGATCCGAGGAACCAGGAAAACCAGCGACGTCGAGATCCGATGAAGCAAGACAACCAGTGAAAACGAAATCAGAGAAACCAGGGCAATCGATCGAGCCGAAATCCGAGAAAGGACCAAGAGGGGCCGAAGGAGCAGGAGGAGCAGCATAAGCAGGAGGAGCAGGTGGAGGAGGGGCTGGGCGAACAGGGGGAACAGGCGGAGGAGGAGGAGGACGGGGAGGAGGAGGATGGGGGAAGAGGAGGGGGGGAGGGGGGAGGGGGGCGGGGAAGGATGAGGAGGGGGAGGCGGAGGAGAAGGAAGAGGGGGAGGAGGGAGGGGTGGCCAGGGGGAGGAGGAGCAGGAGGAGGATGAGGAGGAAAGGGAAGCGGATGAGGGGAGGAGGGGGAGGAGGAGAGGGGCTTTGAGGATGAGAAACAACAATGGAACATGTTGCGGATAAAAGGAGGGAGAAGAGGAAGAGGAGCGGGCGAGCGGCGAGCGCGCGGCCGCCCGCTTGGACGTCAAGGTCAAGGCGCCACCCGCGGCCGCGGGGCAGGGGGAGGAGGAGGAGCGGGGGGGGGCATTGCGCCCCCGCCCCTCTCCTCCTGCCTCCTCCTCCTCACATCCTCCTCCTCCTCCCGCCGCCGCGGCCTCCTCTTACTTATCCTCTTCCTCCGTCGTCATTTTGGCTCAAACAATTTGTGGGTAACGCCTGGGGGACGTGCTTCAACGGCCACTGAGCGCGGAAAACCGGAATGAACGATACACTCATAAAGCGTCTGCGCCTCCAACAGCCACAACCTTCAGTGAAAATCTTGGAAACAGATAACTGTCTCAGGAACTCGCGAGATCACGTACAAAAAACTGTCCGTTACGGGACAGTTTTTTGTACGTGATGGACACAGGGGGGGTTGGATTTCGCCGGGGTGGGCTTTCGACGGGGTTGGGGCTTTCGCAGGGGGTGGCTTTCGGGGGGCTGGCGTTCGCCGGGTTGGCTTTCGCCGGGTTGGCTTTCGCCGGGGTTGGCTTTCGCCGGGTTGGCTTTCGCCGGGTTGGCTTTCGCCGGGGTTGGCTTTCGCTGGGGTTGGCTTTCGCCGGGGCCGGGCGGGGAGCAGGCGGGGCAGGCTTAGGGGCAAAAGTAGGCGCCGCCGTCGCTGGCGTGGCCGTCGCCGCCGCCGTGCTGACCCCTGGGAGCCTTTGAGGCGCGCCGCTTGAGTAGGCGAAAGGGTCGCAGAGACGTGGGTGGGGGGGGGTCAAGGAGGTCCCGGATGTCAAGGAGGGTCTGAGATGCGTCAGAACGGGACGCTAAAAAATGCGGGGCGCGCTCAAGTGGGCACGCGTGAGCCCTAACGGGCGGGCCCGATCGGGTGGGCGGACCCTAACGGGCGGGACGGGTCGAGCGGACCCTCACACGCGGGCCGGGTCGGGCGAGCGGATCCTGGCGGGCGAAGCGGGTCGGGTCGGGTCGGGCGGATCTTAACGGGCGGGTCGGGTCGGGCGGGCGGGACACTAAAGTGTGGGGCGCGCTCGAGTGAGCACGCGTGAACCCTGACGGGCGGGTCGGGTCGGGTCGGGCGGACCCTAACGGGCGGGGCGGGTTCGGGCCGGGCGGACCCTAACGGGCAGGTCGGGTCGGGCAGGCGGGACACTAAAGTGTGGAGGCGCACTCGAGTGAGCACGCGTGAACCCTGACGGGCGGGTCGGGTGGGGCAGGCGGACCTTGGCTGGCGAAGCGGGTCGGGTCGGGTCGGGCGGACCCTAACGGGCGGGTCGGGTCGGGCGGGCGGGACACTAAAGTGTGGGGCGCGCTCGAGTGAGCACGCGTGAACCCTAACGGGCGGGTCGGGTCGGGTCGGGCGGACCCTAACGGCGGGACGGGTTCGGGTCGGGCGGACCCTAACGGGCGGGTCGGGTCGGGCAGGCGGGACACTAAAGTGTGGAGGCGCGCTCGAGTGAGCACGCGTGAACCCACGGGCGGGTCGGGTCGGGTCGGGCAGGCAGAACCCTAACGGGCGGGGCCAGGGCGGGTCGGGTCGGGCCGGGCTGGGAACTCGCCGCGGCGGGTAGGGTCGGGCTGGGCGTGGACGGGGACACTAAAAAGTGGGGCGCGCCCCCTCGAGCGAGCACGATATTGAACACCAACGGGCGGCGTCGGGTCGGGTCTCTCGGAGCTGCTAACGGGCGGGCGGCGGGTTCGGGTCGGGCGGACCCTAACGGGCGGGTCGGGTCGGGATGCGGGGGGACGCGGGACACAAAGTTGTGGGGCGCGCTAGTGGTGAGCACGCGTGACCCTGACGGCGGGTGGGCGGGGGTCGGGTGATGTTCGGGCCGGACCCTAATGGGCGGGGCGGGTTCGGGGTCAGGCGGACCCTAACGGGCAGGTCGGGTCGGGCAGCGGGACACTAAGTGTGGATGCGCACTCGAGGGAGCACGCGTGAACCCTGACGGGCGGGTCGGGTGGGGCAGGCGGACCCTGGCGGGCGAAGCGGGTCGGGTCGGGTCGGGCGGACCCTAATGGGCGGGTCGGGTGAAGCGGGCGGGGCACTAAAGTGTGGGGCGCGCACGAGCGAGCACGCGTGAACCCCAACGGGCGGGTCGGGTCGGGTCGGGCGGACCCTAACGGGCGGGGCGGGTTCGGGCCGGGCGGACTCTAACGGGTGGGTCGGGTCGGGCGGGCGGGACGCTGAGGTGTGGGGCGCGCTCGAGTGAGCACGCGTGAACCCTGACGGGCGGGTCGGGTCGGGCCGGGCGGACCCTAACGGGCGGGGCGGGTCGGGTCGGGTCGGGTTCGGTAAGAGCAGCATAAGCAGCATGGAAGAAGAGGAGAGGGAAGAGGAGACGAGGAAGAGGAGGGCAAAGCTGAACCCAGGCGAAAACGAGCCCGGTCGAAAGCCAACCCGGGCGAAAGCCAACCGGGCGAAAGCCAACCCGGGCGAAAGCCAACCGGGCGAAAGCCAACCGGGCGAAAGCCAACCCGGGCGAAAGCCAACCCGGGCGAAAGCCAACCGGGCGAAAGCCAACCCGGGCGAAAGCCAACCCGGGCGAAAGCCAACCCGGGCGAAAACCAACCTGGGCGAAAGCCAACCGGGCGAAAGCAAACCCGGGCGAAACGAACCGGGCGAAAGGCACCGGGCGAAAACCAACCCGGGCGAAAAACATCTACGCCTCCTGGGGGGGGGGGGGGGGGGGCGGGGCGCACATGGAGCGAGGATGGGATCGAGGAGGAGGAAGGAGGGAGGGGAGGAAGGCGAGGATGAGGCAGGGAGGAAAGCGAGGCACGAGAAAGGCGGGGGGAGGAAGCTGGGAAGAGGCTCAATATTCTATCCAGGCCCCGCGAAGCCCAGACCCGTCCAACAGCAGCCGCCGTGCTCACGCGAGGGGCTCTTTTTTGGATACCTTCCGGGCCCGGCCTGGTAGTGCCAGCTGCCCTCGGGCTGGTACACCGTCAGGGACTCGCCGACCTCCGCGTGCCTCTGAAGGGGCCCTGGGACACACAAATAAATACACACAAATAATCCCCATATTTCCCCATATGTTCTGGGTTTTCGTCTTCCTCTCAATTCCTATATTTTCCCATATTTTCTGGGGAATCGACGATTCATTGTGTCTGTGTTTTTTTTCCCCTCCTGAGCCTGCGCGTGCGCTCCTCGACCGCCACCGCGGCCCAGCGCCGCCGGGCCGCGTCCTCCGCCTGCCACCGCGCCAGCGCCGCGTCCAGCGCGGCCTGCAGCGCGCCGCTGGCCTCGGTGGAGAGCGCGGGCGCGAACTCGTGGTCCTGCGCCCCAGCCCTCCAGCGATATAGGATACTCTGCAGCCAGCCTGTTTTCTTTCTCCCCTGAACACTGTGTGACTTTGGGGCGTGTTAGAGTATCTGTCGCACCGAAGGGATTGGACGGGTTTCCTGGCGATATATGATGCTCTGCAGCCAGCCTTTCTTGTCTCCCCTGAACACTGTGTGACTTTGGGGCGTGTTAGTATTTCTGTTGCGCCGGAGGATTAAGTGGACGGGCTTCCTGGGTTTTCGGCCGGTGCCCGGTGGTTGGTGGGGACCCGTGCGCGCCTCGCGGGCGCCCCGCGCTTGGGTGTTTTTTGTCCTGAGGCTTCGCCCGGAGGCCCACCCGTGAGCGGCTTCGCGCGCGCCGTTGTTGGGGCTTGTGTCCCGAGGTTCCGATGTGTGCCCCCGCGTTGGCGCCTACAGTGGGGCCCCGTGCCCTTGCACCACCTGGCTTGCACAGCACAGCCTAGACCACACAGTGTGCACCACACAGCTTGCAGCGTATATGGATCACACACCACAGCTTGCAAACAAAGCTTGCGCCAACACGTGTCACAACATGGCTCTCACCACCCAACTCACACCACATAGCTTGCACAACTTAGCCCGTGCCAACTAGTTCACACCACACATCTTACACAGCATGGCTTGCGCGACATAGCCTAAACAGCACAGCCCAACGCCATCCAGTTCAAACGACACACCTGACTAAACACAATTTAGGACACATTGCTTACCACACAAAACCTTGCACCGCATGGCTCACACCGTACAATTTACACAACACCGCTTAGCCTATTCAACCGATCATTCACCTCCACCAAAACAGTATCAAACCACTTTGTGGGATCCATGCTGGCGAACATTCTTAGAATTCGGCCCTCCTTGCCCTTTTTCAGAAATATTGTAACTTTTCAGCCGGCGGTCTTGCCTGGATGTCGGCCCTCCGGGGCCCGTCCTCGGACCCCGGGCCGCCCAAAAAGAACCCGGGGCGGCGAGGGCCGGTGGGGCCGCCGGCCCGGCTGACAAAATCTGTTGTGGTCGGCACCTTCGGAGCGGACCCGTCGCGGTCAGGCTTGCACCGGGCTGCAGCGGCAGGCCACGTGGGCACACGGGCTGCCCAAAAAAAACACATCCTTGGAAGCTCTTGGGCACGGCGGCGCACGCCAGGGGGGTGGCCTGCACGGGGCGGCCGAGGGGCCCGCTGCAGGGAGACGGGCGACCAACTGCAGAGGCGTAGGTTCTCGGAGCTCCGCGCGGATGTCTAGGATCGGCGGCGCGCTGTGCCCCGCGAGCGGACGGCGTGCCGCTCCGCTCCGCGGGCCGAGGGGCCGTGCCGAAGCATGGCAGGCTGGACGCCCCCCTCTCGTGAGCATAAACTTTCCGAGGCCAGCGCGGACTTCTTGGATCGGCGTGGAGAACGGCTCCGCGCATCCCCGCAACGCGCGGAAGAGGGTCCCGCGGTGCACAGGCGATCGAGCTCCGACAGGAGGGGTGCTGGCAGGACATGCAGGCCCGCGGAGCGCGCCAGGGGCAGGCCATAGGGCAGGCGTGGCGCCGATCCAGGACATCCGCGCGGAACTCTGAAGGCTGACGCTTGGACGCCGCTCCTCTCCTCCTCCTCCTCCTCCTCCTCCTCCTCTCCTCCTCCGCTCCTCCCCCCACCCCCCCCTTCCATCCTCCTCCTCTCCCCCCGCCTCCTCCTCCTCCTCCTCCCCCCCCTCCCCTCCTCCTCCTCCTCCCCCTCCTCCTTCTCCTCCTCCTGCTGCTCCTCCTCCTCCTCCAACTCCTCCTCTCCATCCTCCTCCTCCCCCTCCTCCTCCTCCTCCTCCCCCTCCTCCTCCTCCTCCTCCTCCTCCTCCCCCTTCTCCTCCTCCTCGCGCTTCCTCTTCGACTGCGCGCGCCGCTGGTCCTGCCCGTCCAGCAGCGCCTCGCCGGCGACCGGCAGCGCCACCTCGCGCCCCGAGCTGCGCCCTGCGGCGGCCGCGCGCGGGAGCGGCCCCCCCAGGGGGTGGGGGGCGAGGAGTGCCCTCGGGTGCGCGGCCTGCTCGAGTACAGTCAAAAACCCTAATAGCGACGCGCGGTAAGGACGCAAGACCCTTGAAAGCCGAAGTTGGGATTTTGGGGCGGCGGACGACGAAAACCCCAAGGACGCAAGAGCAAGGAAGAGCAAGGACGCAAGGGTATCCTGAGAAAAGTCGCGCGTCCGTATTGGGGTTTTTGACTGTACTGGGATCGGCGCGGGGGCTGCAAAGGGGAGGAGGGGGGGGGTATCAGTGGCTGCCACAGTGGGTTATACCTGGCCTAACCTTGTCCTGTAAGTGGGATACGGATGCACCAAGCAAGTGGCTTGTGGAGGTTAGATGGCTCTGCTCAGGTGGGCGGAGACCACTTGGCCCGGATGGCTGACTCTCCTGAGCCACTCGGGGCATTTTCGTGTCCCCCTGCAACCACTTGGATGCTCGTCCTCCCCTCAATATTTTCACGTGTGTTCTCAGATTCTCCTGACCATTGGCGGTTACTTGTACTCACCTGCACCACTTGGATGCTCCTCCTCCCCTCGACTTCTCCCATGCCCCTAGATCCTCATGGCCATCGGCGGATCTGTGTTCTCCCCTACGACCACGTGGATGCTCGTCCTCCCCTCCACTTCTCCCGTGCCCCCAGATCCTCATCGCCATCGGCGGATCCATGTTAGTTCTCCCCTGCGACTACGTGGATGCTCCTCCTCCCCTCCGCCTCTCACATGCCCCCAGATCCTCATCGCCATCGGCGGATACATGTTCGCCCCTACGACCACTTGGAGGCTCCTCCTCCCCTCCGCCTCTCCCGTGCCCCAAGATCCTCATCGCCATCGGCGGATATACTTGTTCTCGCCTGCGACCATTTGGAGGCTCGTCCTCCCCTCCGCCCCTCCCGTGCCCCCAAATCCTCATCACCATCGGCGCTTCTCCGCGCCCGTGCCCCTCTTTCCCCAGGAGGAGGAGGAGGAGGAGGAGGAGGAGGAGGAGGAGGAGGAGGAGGAGGAGGAGGAGGCCCCCCCGGACCGCCCGCGGGGCGCCCAGGGGGAGCCCCCACGTGCTCGCGCCGCGATCCAGAGGCGCGCCCTGGGGAGGGGCTGCTGGCAGCTTTCGGCCTCTCCTGGAAAGCCGACGTCGTCGACGATACCCGTCGTCGTCTCCGTCGTCGCCGTCGTCGTCGTCGTCGTCGTCAACCGTCGACCGTCGTCGTCGTCGCCGTCGTCGACGTCGACGTCGTCGTCGGCGTCGTCGTCGTCGTCGTCGTCGTCGTCGTCGTCGTCGTCATCGTCGTCATCGTCGTCGTCGTCGGCGTCGACCGTCGTCGTCGTCTGGGGCCCCCCGCTGGGCCCCAGGACCGTCAGAGCAGGCGTTCCTCCCCGCGCATCTCCCTCCCCCGCCGCCGCCCCGGAAGGCCACGGCACCCGAGGCCACTCCTGCGAGGAGCGGGCCTCCCAGGCGTCCGAGGATGTGAGGTCCTCAAGCCGCGGCCCGACGCCCATGGGGGAACGTTTCCCCAGGGACCCGCCTTTGACGGCCCCAAAGGTAACCCTATGCCCCCGATGACCACAGGGTGTGGCCCCACAGCCCCGGGCCAAGAGCGCTCCAAAGCGTCCCAAGATGCCTCAAGACGGTCCACAATGCCCCCAAGACGCCCCAAGATGCCTTCGAGACACCTCCCAAGAGGCCCCCAAGACGCAACAATTGGTGATTTCCGTGGGTTGTTGGAAGATTTTGGCATTCTCGCCTTTTCGGCTTACCCGCGCTCCAAGACGGCCCAAAAGGAACCCAAGATCGCCGAAACACGGCCCAAGAGGCCTCCAATTGTGCCTCGAAACGGCCCCAAAGGCTCCAAGAGAGCGCTAAAGCCCCCAAGACGGATCCAAGAGCGGGCCCCGACTGGGGACAGGAACAGACATTTCGCGCTCTAGGCTCCGAGAAATCCCCAGGAGACCCCAAGAGGCCCCCAAAAGGTCCCCAAAAGGCCCCCAAAAGGCCCCCGATAGGCCCCAAGAGGCCCCCATGAGGCCCCAGGAGGTCTTAGAAATACCGCCAAGACGCCCCCGAGAGGCCTCCTTCCAAGAGACCCCAAGACGCTTGGCCCCCAAATGCCCCAAGAAACAATCGAGAGGCCTCCTCCTCATCCTCCTCTATTCCTCCTCCTCCTCCTCCTCCTCCTCCTCCTCCTCCTCCTCCTCCTCCTTCTCGCTCGCCATGAGCATGCCCACATATAACACTATTGATACAGGATGGGCCGGCGGAGTGAGCGAAGCGACTCAATAGGAAAGCTCGGGGCTCCAGCGAGATCACAGATTTCCCCTGGCAGGTCGCCACAGAAAGGAGGAGCAGGAGCAGGAGCAGGAGCAGGAGGAGGAGGAGCAGGAGCAGGAGGAGGAGGAGGAGGAGGAGGAGGAGGAGGAGGAGGAGGAGGAGGAGGAGCGAACGGACTCTTTCTCGGAGTGCACGGCTGCACGGCATGCCTCCTGGCACAACGACGCCGTGCCCGAGGACGGTCCCAGAGCCACGAGGCCGACGCAAAGGAACAACAAAAAAAACAGCACCTGGACAGACAGACATCACATTGGATGAGGTCCTGGGGGATGCGTAGGGGGCCACATGCGAACCCTACCCCCCACGATTTCTGAGGGGGAAGGTGGGGTTCACTTTTCGCTCGGGGTGGCCCCCGAATTGCGGGCCGCCGGCCTACCACCCGCCCCAGCGCCACTCGCAGCTCCCCGGCGCCGTCGGGCGCGTCCAGGAAGAGCGCGTGGAGCCGGTCCTCGTCGGCGGCCCGCGCCGGGGCCGGGGCGGAGCGGGGCAGAGGGCGGGGCGTATCGGAGCGGCGCGGCCCGGCCTCCCCCCAGATCCGACGGCGCGCACACACTGAAACACCGGGGAGGGAACGAGCAGAGCCCTGAACCCCCAGAAGCGCTCGGAGCTCCGCACGGACTTCCTGGATCGGCGCCGGAAGCCCCTCCCTGGCGCGCGGGGCGCGCCAGGGCGGCGCCAGGGCGGCGCCGCTGGGGGGGCCCCCGACGCCAATCCAAGAAAGCCGCGCGGAGGTGCGAAAGCCAATGTTTATGGAGGTGGCACACCCCACCCCCACCCCCAGCCAGGACCCCCTCTCCCGACCTGGGGTCCAGGGATCCTGACTAGGAGTGAAGGTGATGTCTTGGCTCCCAAGAGGAGCTCCTCTGATTACCAGCCCCACCCCCAAGCCAGATCCCCCCTGAATCACCAGGACGCGATGGAGGGGTCCTGGCTTAGGGTGAGGGTGGGTTGTGCTGTCCTTCTTCCCAGGCCCCCGATGTCATGATTTTTCTCATGCCCCCGAAGGACGAACAACGCTGAAGACCTTCCGTTGTGGTTCCTTGCCACGACTCGAAAGGGGGGTCTGGGGTTTGTGCAGTTGTTGTTTCCTCGAGGGGGAAGAAGGCAGGACTTCTCTAGAGGCCTCCCAGATGGGGCCCGAGTAGATGGGGTCGGAGGATCGCGCCGCATCGCCGATACATCGGCGATGCATCGGCATTCATCGACGACGCATCGTCGACGTGGGCGATGCATCGGCGACGTCGACGTGAAGCAAATCGGGCTCCAGAGACTCCACGCTTTCGGCGGAGGGGGGGTGCACGAGGGTTCCCTGCAGCCAGAAAACACGCCGCGAAGCGACGAGAGCTTCAGAAAACGTCGAAAACATGTAGAACCCCCTTGGCGAAAAACATATCCTTATCCATGGTCTCGCGGGCCGGGCCCCTGGGCCGCGAACCCGCGGAGATGAAACGTCCTCTCGCGGACGCCCCGCGCGCAACGTATCCGTGCGACCGCGTATCTGCTGGATCGCGACCCGGAATCCACACGTTCGCCGCAAGTGAGAAACCTCAAGACCGAACAAGAGCCGCGCGCCAAAAATCATGCCGGCGAAGGGCCACTCTTTTAGGCGTAGCCGGCTGGACGTCCGAGGGGCTGGCTCCGGATGGCCCTGCGCTCGGAGGGCACAAGCTGAATATCAATGCCGCGCCAGTTGGACGACGCCACCAGCGTGGCACCGTCGAAGAAGTTTCCCATCGCAGAAGGGTTGCCATGCTACGTACGTGTATACCTCTATATGTTAACCAGCGAGGACCTCTAACAGTGATTCCAATCTATGCTGTGCAACCTCAGCTGTGCAATCAACGAAGTGCGATCTAGGTGGTGCAACCCATGTGGTGCAATCCTTGCGGTCCAAGACGATGCAAAGCAATGCAGAGCAATGCGATGGCAATGCGATTGCCATGCAATGCGCCCGCAAAGCAATGCAAAGCAACGCAAAGCAGCACAATTCGATGGCGATGCACAGCAATGCGACTGCAATGCAAGGGTGTGGGGGCAACGGGGTGGCGGCTACGGACGGGAACGGGGCCGCCGGGGCCGCGCAAGGGCCCAGAGTCGGAGAAGGAACATCAAAATCCCTAAGTGCAGTCACAGTTTTGATAATGTATGTCTACCTACACACCTTTACATCTCGAAATGTATATATACATACATATATATACATACATGGGCATATCTATCTGTACAGAGATATGCAGTATTGTGTTGTATTCGCTCTCCCAACATGTACACACGTATGTGATATATCGACATTTGTATATCTGAACAAATCTACATACAAATGTAAAGATATAGATATAGACGCTGTCCCTCATCGTTGGCACCCAGCTTAACCGCGTACGGCAATGTATGGTCGTCTGCCGCAGCGGTGTCATACAACACGTTTGTTGGAGAGTCGAACGAGTAACACGCTCAGCGCTAAAAAACACGCGCGTGCCACTGACACCCCTGATTGGAGGAAGAACCAACTGCACAAACATAGACGTGCGATGGGGGCGGCGCGCGATCCACTGTCGCTGGGCCTGAACAAGTACATCGTCGAAGGAAGGGGGAGAACACAGGGGACACCCCTTCCTCCCCCCTCCCGCTTAAAAAATCATTCGGCGGTGCCAGGCACCAGGCCGCCCCCCCCCCCCCCTCCGACCCCTCCCCCCCCCCTCCGACCCCTCGCAAAATAACTGGATCCTCAACCGCCCCCCGGAGCATTCCCGGGGGGGTCCAGGATCAGAATCCCCCCCCCCCCCGGGGAAATGATTCGAGGGCCCCGCACCCCCCACCCGCCTGGCAAAAGAACTCGAGGGGTCCCCCTCTCTGGGCAACGACGACGCCGACGACGCCTACGACGACGGCGACAATGTCAGCTGCGGGGCAACGTCAGCGGCGGCGGCGGCGTACCTGTCCGCCAAGCGCCGGCTCTGATAGAATGCTACTAGGGCTCGATCTACTACGGACGGCTGGGTCCAGCAGAAGCTCCAGTAGCATCATGTGCTGGCTGGATCCAGGTCTGGTGGAATTCCACTATAGACTCGATCTAGCATTTTCGCAACGTATCAAAACACCATCCAGCTGAAACCCTACGAGGGCTCGATCCATCTTCGAAAGAATCCTACTAGGGCTGGATCCAGCTCTGGAGGAATAAAATTCGGTCTCGACTCCGCTTCAATCGAATCCTACGAGGGGTCGGCCCAGCTTCCATCGCATCCCACTAGGACTCGGTCGTCGTCGTCGTCATCGTCGTCGGCGTCTTTGTCGTTTTCGTCGTCGTCGTCTTCGGCGTCTGCGTCGGTGTCGGCGTCAGCGTCGGCGCCGTCGTAGTTGTCGTCCGTCGGCGTCTGCGTCTGCGTCGTGTTATCATCGGCATCGGCGTCGGCGTGGGCGTCGGCATTGTCGACGTCGTCGTCGTCGCCGCCAGCGTCGTCGTCGTCGGCGTCGTCGTCATCGTCGTCGTCGTGGTTGTCGTCCGTCGTGAGTCGTGAGTCGTCAGTCTTCGTCGTCGTCGTCGTCGTCGTTGACGTCGTCCTCGTCGTCGTCGTCGTGCATGCCGGGCCGGGGGGGACCTGGACCCCTCGAAAATGTTTCCCATGGGTGGGTGGGGTTGCGTGGTCCTGGACCCCCCCCCCCTCCCGAATCATTCTCCCGGGGGGGGGGGGCGGTCTGGACCCCCCCCCCACCCCTGAATTTTTTTTTGGGGGGGCGGTTCTACCCCCCTACCCCTTATCTTTTTTTCGGGGGAGCGTCGTCGTCATCGTCGTCGTCGTGGTTGTCGTCCGTCGTGAGTCGTGAGTTGTCGTCGTCGTCGTCGTCGTCGTGCATGCCGGGCCGGGGGGGATCTGGACCCCTCGAAAACTTTTCCCATGGGAGGGTGGGGTGGCGTGGTCCTGGACCCCCCCCCCTCCCGAATCATTTTCCCGGGGGGGGGGGTTCTGGAACCCCCCCCACCCCTGAATTTTTTCTTGGGGGGGGGCGGCTCCACCCCCCTGCCCCTTAATTTGTTTTCGGGGGGGAGGCGGTTCCACCCCCCCCCCTTGCCAGCAGCCTCCGAGGCCGCGCGGACTTCTCCGACGGGCGCCGGACCCCCTGCCCGGCGCGCCGCCGGCGCCCGGGGCGGCGCCCGAGGCGCCGCCAGGGCTTCCCAGCGCCCACTGGGGGAGGCAAGGAGGAGGAGGAGGAGGAGGAGGAGGAGGAGGAGGAGGAGGAGGAGGAGGAGGAGGAGGAGGAATAGGAGGAGGAGGAGGAGGAGGAGGAGGAGGAGGAGGACGACGCTGCGCGCGCAGCCCCGACAGTTTCTGTCCGCGGCGGGCTCGCGCGCGGCGTCGGCGGCACGAGCTTTCGACACCGCGTCGATCGTTCCGCCTGGAACCGATGACGCTGCCGGGTCCCTCGGTGCGCCCGCGCCGTCCTGTCGTGCGGACGGAGTGCAGTCTTGAACGCCTTCGCCGGCGTCGCAGGCGCGCCATCGCCGCGCGAACCTGCCCTACGTATATGCAGCTTTCTCTTCTTCGACGTATATCGCCCCTCCCGATCCGCTGGCCCGGGGATCCTCCAAGGTGCGGTGGGCCCGCTGGAGGAAGAGGAACTTCCGCTGGTAGGGCAGCTGATCCAGCGGAGGCCCTCGCTTCTTCTCCTGCTGGGCACGAACAACCAACGGGCCTCGAGGGTTGGGCGTAGCTTGAAAGGGGGGCGATAGTTGGGGGAGAATATGAGGTGCACTTCTCGGGCCAGGCCGGCTGCCTCCCCATTCATCGTCCCCCTACGACGCGAGGCCCAACAGGAAAATGGATCCTGGGCCCCGGGGCCGCGGCCTGTCCCCAGGACCCTCGCATTGTTGCCTGATCAGGTCCTGGGACCCGTGACGGGCCACGGAGCCCCGAAAACGGCCACAAAAACCTTCGGTCCCGTCTCCCTCAGGACCCGTTCTCAGGTGAGCATTTTTTATTCGGCGTTGGAAGGGGGGGATCTGGCTCCGGACCTATGCTTTGTGCGACTGTTTGCAGCAGTGCGTCCATCATGGGGGAGGCTCCACATGCCCGAAACAGGCGCAAAAACATCAAAGATCTACTCCTTGGGGGGGGGGGGGGAGGGGGGAGGGGGCAAGGGCCCGCGCCGATCGGCAAAACAACGAATCAAACAAAAACGACAACTTCTCAGACATCCAAGGTCTTGGCTGTTTCAGCGCAGGGTCTCCGGAAGCCTCGACCCTCTCCCCGGGGCCAGTCTCTCTTCCCGAGCCGTTGTCTGTCGGTCCCGCGGCCCGGCGAGGGCTCCCGGAGGGGCGAAAGAGGCAGAAGGAACTCCCGTCGCGATTTTTGCTCACGTCGCGAGAAAGTCTGGGCCAGGGGGACACGCATCGCTCCCTGGACCTGCTCTGGGGAGCGTTCCGACCAGAATGTCAAGGCGAAACCAGCTGTGGCGAGGAGGAGCCTCCTGGAGGCCCCCCAAAACGGCGAACAGAAGCCAAAGTTGGACCCTCGATCCTCGAACTCTTGCTGTGATTCTTTGGAGGCTTGGAAGATGGCACCAAGAGGCAGGAGGTGCGTCCACCAGGAGGGTATGCTCCTGGATGTTGGTGTTGGCGGGGTGCTGGTTGTAGCTTATCGGCTATCTATAAAGGAGCCCCAGAACACACACACACACATACACACACATAAATACACACTAATGAAAACTTCCCCATATTTTCCTATATTTTCTGTTTTTCTTATTCCCCCCCCACTTCCAATATTTTCGTATATTTTCCTGGGGATCGACGATTAATTGTGTCTGTGTTTTTTCCCCTCCTGAATCTAGGAAGCCCGAGTCTCAGACCCCCGGCGCCATGATATTTTCACAACGTCGACCCCCAGAGGTCTCGAACCCTTCCCCAGGACCGCTTTCTCATCCCGAGTCCTTTTTGTTGACGCTCCCGAGGGCAAGGTAAGGGCCCCCCCAAAGCCGCACATAGCGCGAAACCTCCCGTCATGATTCTTGTCATGACCCGAGGGGGTCTGGGGTATTTCCAGCATCGCCGAGATCGGGATCATCTTCCCTCCCTGAGATTCGACGTAGCGAACAAATTGCAACAGCGAAAAAAATCACGCCTGGAGCCCTATAGACCCTATCTGCGTCATGCTTGGAGCCAGATCGATCTGTGATGGTCCCGGGGCCGGAAAAAAGACGAAAACGCCTGGCTCGAAAAAATTGGGACGCCAGTATCTCAGGGCGTTTGCATCCCGAGTCGTTTTTTGACGGCCCCGAGGCTCGCCCCCCAGAGGCTGAACACGGCTAAAATCTGGCCGCTCCAACTTCTTGTTCGTGGTTCGTGGCGTCGGATCTCTGGGTAGGAAGCCCGAGCATTATCCCCTTCGCCGAGATCGGTATCATCTTCCTTCGGTGGATTGGAGGCCCGGAAATTGGCACCAACACCAGCACAGGGGTTGCCTCCACAGGGGGAAGATGATCCTCGATTTCGGTGTTGGTGGTTCTACTTCGGTCACCTTGGAAGCCAGAGTATTACCATCATCGCCGAGATCGGGATCTTCTTCCCTCGGTGGAGGCACACCGCCGATCTTGGCGGTGGTGTCAACCTCTAGGCCTGCGAGTGGAGGCGCACCGATTCGTGTGGCGATCTCCTGCGCCGCGCGCGGGGCGGCTGGCGCCGGCGCGCCGCGGGCCATATCACCGCCGCGGGCCGGAGGCGCCCCCGCGGGCACAGAGGCCCTCCGGCAGCGCCGCCGCGCGCGGGGCGGCGGGCGCGGGGGCGCCGCCGGACATCGCCCCTCCCCGAGCTCGAGCCGGCATGCTCGCGTCGCGAATCGAAGGTTCGCTGATCGAGGACCGAGCTTTGGCTCTTGCTCTCGGCCTCCGAGGCGCTCCTCGTCGCCGCGGCTGGATCCGCCCTGAGATTCTAGCCAGAAGGCTCCCCAGAACAGGGGCGGGGATGGTTTCTTGTGCCCCAGACCCAGACGTGACGTGCTCGCCTCGTGTGCAAAAACCACGTTTTGGGTTTTCGGCCGTGCTTGGCCTCTGAGAGCCTTCGCTCGGCCCAGGGACCATCAAACAACGACTCGGGAAGGCAGTCCTACCCGGTGGTCCTACCCTGTGGACTGGGTCGGGGGCTTCCGGAGATCTCGCACTGAAACAATCAAGACCCCCGACGTCATGTTTCTTTCAGAACGTCGACCCCTGGAGGTCTCGACCCATTCCCCGGGGCCGGCTTTTCATCATGAGTCGTTCTTGGACACTCCCGGGGGCCGGAGTACAAGGCATCCAGAGGCAGAAAATAGCGCAACGCCTGCCGTCGTGAATATTTCATGACCCAGGGGGGACATCGATGAGCATGCCCGCGTCGGGAAACAAAAAAACCTACGGGAGGTTCTCGACCGGACGACGACAACTAGGACGGACGACGACGACGAGGACGGACGACGACGACGACGAGGACGGACGACGACGACGACGACGACGACGACGACGACGACGACGACGACGGACGACGACGACGAGGACGGACGACGGCGACCGACGACGACGGACGACGACGACGAAGACGGACGACGACGACCGACGACGACGGACGACGGACGACGGACGACGGACGACGACGACCGACCGACCGACCGACCGACGACCGACGACCGTCGACCGTCGACTGGGCCACCTCGCCAGGCCGAGGGGCCGGGGGGCCGTCAGGGAACGGCTGGGGAGGAGGAGCCGGGTCGGCGCCTCCGGATAGGGGGCCACATGCGAACCCTACCCCTACCCCCCACGACTTCTCAGGGGGAGCGTGGGGTTCACTTTGTTCGGGAGCTCCCGAGCGAAGTGAAGCCCACCCTCCCCCTCCGAAATCGTGGGGGGTAGGGGTGGGGTTCGCACGTGGCCCCCTACTGGAGGCCCCGCTTGCCGGAAAGCTCGAGGCATCGGGCCCTGCGGCCCAGCCCCCCTCGGGCCACGAGGTAGAAAGCCTGGCAGGAGGGTTCTGCACCAGTGTCGGCCTCCGGGGGCCCTTTACCACGCCTCGGGAGCGCCCGAAAACGACGCGAGGTCGTGAAGAAGAGCCCAGGCCCTCGGGTCATGAGGAAATCACGACGAACAGTTTTGCGGTATGTTCGGCCCCTGAGGGCCCTCACACGGCCTCGGGAGCGTTCCAAACCGACTCGGGATGAAAACCCGGTCTCGGGGAATGGGTCGAGACTTCTAAGGGTCGACGTTCTGAAAGAGTTCTGACGTCGGGGGTCCTGGGAGGGGGGGACTGGCACAGAGACATACTAGTGCTATATGTCCTCCTTGGAGGCGCTCGTCCGACCCGAACATCTAGAACACCCACCTTGTAGTATGTCGCTTCCCGAGCGGTGTGGCCAGAAAGAGCCCACCACGACGCACATACTATAAGATGTCTCGGTGCGCCCGTCGCCCCTGAGGGGGCGACGCACATATAGCATAAATATGTTGGGGGGGACGCCATGTACGGGGGGGGGCGTAACCAGGGGAAGGCTCGAGGTTCGAGGTCTTCGGGTCGATGCCCCCCCTCCCCCCCGAGCCCGTCCCCCCTCCATCGTGCTGCCCCGGCGGGGAGCTGAGAGTGCACACGGCTGGGCTCGCGCGCGAAGAAGGCTTTTTGGCCTGCGGTGCCTCGGACCCGAGTAACGACGACGACGACGCCGACGACGACGACGACGACGCCGACGCCGACGACTACGACGACGACGCCGACGCCGGCGCCGGCGCCGACGCCGACGACGACGACGACGACGACGACGCCGACGCCGACGACGACGACGACGACGACGGCAACGGCGATTACCACGAGCACGACGGCGATGACGGCCACGCGCGTGAGCACACTGCCGTACAGTCATCTGCCTGACCTAAGGAACGATAAGGAACAAAGCCCCTTGTCGTTCCAAAGGAACGATAAATAAGGAACGATAAATAAGGAACGAAACCCCTTTTGAAAAGGAAGTGTTCCTTATTCAAGCCGCTCACCGTACGCCAGGGCTGCTGCGGAACGAATTTAAAGCACAACGGCGGAAGGAACGGCCCGACGGACGGGGGGAAGAGGGCAGCGGACAGACGGGGCGCCCCCAAAGCATCAAGCACTTCGGGTCGTGCCGGAGACATGCTGGACTCCTTGTCATTGGCCGCGGGCCTGCAGAGGCATTGCAATGCCAAGGTGAGCACACTGCCACCATGCACACGGCCGGGAGTTGACCCGATGCTGCAGAAGACGATTCCCCCGCTCTGGATTCCCGTGACGCCTCCAACCTGCAGGACCGAGAGCCCCCGACCCCTTCCCATGGGGCCAGCGTCGCACCCCCGGATCCCGTCGGGCTGGGCCGTCCGGTCCGCAGGCCGGGAACGCCCGGACCCCCTTCCCGCACGGGCGGCGACAAGATACTGACTACCTACCAGACCACCCCAACCCAAACCGAAGACCCGAATTTCGGGTTGGGGGGGGTAAGGGTTCCACATGTGTTTTTTCGATGTTTCCCGACCCCCCCCCACCGAGAATCGATAGTAAATCTGAGCCTTCGGGTTGGGTTGGGGTGGTTTGGTGGGTGGTGAGATACGGGTCCTGCGAGAGCAGACATGCTCAGCGACCTTGCGCCGAGGCTTACGCGGGCCGCCAGCGTGGCGCGCCGCGTGGAGAAGCGCGGGCGCTCACGCACGACCTTGCGCGGGAAAGCGTGTCCACCCCGCTTTCCGCCGCCGCCCACAGGGGGGGCAGCCTTTTTGTAGAGGGAAAACAAACCTACCTCGCTTTTGACCGCCCTCGCTTCCAAGAGATACCAAACGATGCCAAATTGCAGCCTGTACTGGTCAGGCCGCTTGACGAGGAGGCGCGTGGTATGGCTTGGTTTTGCCTGGAAGCGATTGCGGGGTAGGTAGTTCACGCTCTGATTTTCGCCCTCCCGCATCCCTGTTCCCGACGGCCCCTGCCGTGCCCGAGGTTGGCTGTCTCCCGGATGCCGAGGCCGAGGAGAGACGCTAGGACTGCAAGAGCGGATGCCCTTGCGGCCGGGGCCCCCGCAGTGCTACGCAGCTGCGATGGGGGTCACGGGCCTTGATGGGGGGCCGCAGTGGGGCATCGGGGCAGGGATCAGGACTTTGAGCTCGTAGGGATTCTGGGGTAGGAATCGAGGACAGGGACGACAAGAACAGGGAGTCCACGGGATGCAACGGGAAGCCACTGGAGGCCACGGAGGCCACGGGAGGCAACGGGAGGCAACAAGAGGCACGTACAGGAGGCAGCGGAAGGCACCGGAAGGCAACGGGAGGCAACGGGAGGCACAAGGGGACAATGGAAGGGGCCCCATAGTTTCTGGGTTTCTGTCTTCCCCCCCACTTCCGATATTTTTCCATATTTTCTGGGGAATCGAAAATTTAATCGTGTCTGTGTTTTTCTTTTCCTCCTGAACAGTGGAAGACAACCGGAGACTACGTCGCCTGATCAGCGCGCCTGGTAGTCTCTCAGATCTGAAGCCTATGTGGGGCCCTCACAGACAAGCTGTCGAAGAGAACAAGCCGCTCCGCCCGAGGTCTGCACAGCACTTCCGCTGCACCCGGCAGCCACACCGCGCGAACGCGCTGCCCGCCACGCCGCCGCTGCCGCCGCCGCCGCCGCCGCGCAGCGGACTGCGCCGAAGGCCGCGGCGCCGCGCCGCGTCTTGCCCTCGCTCGGACGTCCATTCCCCGTGCATGTTTCGGCTTCGCGCGTGTTTTTGTTTGATCGATGGTCCAGGAAGCTCCTCGATGGCTCTCGCCGAGAAAAAAATCGCACACGTCCGAGCGATGCCAAGGCATCCGCCGTGCCGCAACGCCGCCGCCGCCGCGCCGCCGCAGCTCCCGCCCGCGCCGAAGCGCCGAAGCGCCGAGACACGGGCCGCCGCCTCGAGGGGCCGCGGAGGCACGCGCCGCCGAGGCGCCGAGGCGGCGCCAGAGCCTCTGCTGCTGCAACCCCCGCCTCCTCCCCTGGAGCAGGGACCGACCGTCCCGGCATACCTATAGTCCTACCACGACATGTCCTTAGAACCCAAAAAGGCTCTAAGAACAAGAACAAGGTTCTTAGAACATGAGCCCGATGTGATAAACCAAGACAATATCAGCCAGAAATGTTCTGTGAACATGTAGCGGAAACCACAAAAAAGCTCTTGGAACATTGTTTGGTGGGGCTGTAGTTACCAGCCTGGAACATATCCCTATCCCTATGCTGGGCACCTCCTCATCACGATGCCAATCTTAGGGATCCCCTGATTTCTGAGGGCGACTCCCTGAGATTGCCATCGCCTTCTGCAGTGCCAATCTTGGGGATAGGGATACGTTCGAGGCTGGAAATATGTGCGAGCCTCCTCCCCGCCCCTCCCGGCAGCTTCGCCCACATCCGCCGGCTGCTCAGCGCGCGCGCCACCTCGGCGGGCGAGCCGCGCCGCGCCGGCCGCGCCGAGGCGGCGGCGGCGGGCCCCGCCGCCGGGCGCTTCGGCCGTCGGCGGCGGCCGCCGCAGGGAGCGGCGGCCGAGGACGGCGACGAGGACGACGGTGGCTGCGGTTGCCTCCTGCTTCGTGCCGCTGCTGCCCTCCCTGCTCCTCTTCCCCCGCCCAGCCTCTCCATGCACTCACACACACACACACCCGTCCTCCTGCTCGTTGTCCTCCTCCCTCCTCCTCTCCTCCTCCTCCTCCCTCCTCCCTCCTTCTCCTCCTCCTCCACCTCACCCTCCAACTTCTCCTCCTCCTCCTCCTCTCCTCCTCCTCCTCCTCCTCCTCCTCCTCCCTCCTTCATTTTCTCCGCCTGGCGCGATCTCCACATTCCAAGCCCTGGCATGACAAGGAGGGGCGGTGCGCGCAGCTTTTTCCAAACTCGGGGGAAAGCGCCCATCCGAGAGCCTGGACAGCGCCTTCCTGTCCCATTGTGTGGATGCATAGGCTAGGCGTGTGCGCGTGTGTGTGTGTGTGTGTGAGTGTGTGTGTGTGTGTGCCTGAGTGTGTGTATCTGTGTGGTGTCCCTTCTTCTCCGTCTCCTCCTCCACCTCCTCCTCCCTCCCCCTCCGAATTGTCCCTCATCTCTCACATGTTGTTCACCTCCTGCTGATACTGCTGCTGCTGCTGCTGCTGCTGCTGCTGCTGCTGCTGCTCCTCCTCCTCCTCCTCATCCACGCTTTCATGATCCTCTTCCTGCTGCTACTGCTGCTGATGATGCTGCTGCTGTCGCGACTCGTCGTCGTCGTCGTGCGCCTCCTCCTCCTCCTGCACCTCGTGATCCTCTTCCTTGTCCCCCGTTCCGTCTCCATGTTTCCCCTCCTTGCCTTCCTTCCCCTTCTCCCACTGCTTCCCCTCCGCCGCATCCTCATGATCCTCTGATCCTCCTCCTCCTCCTCCTCCTCCTCCTCCTCCTCCTCATCATCAGTATCAGCATCATCATCATCATCATCATCATCATCATCATCATCATCATCATCATCATCATCATCATCATCATCATCATCATCAGCATCATCATCATCATCATCATCATCATCATCATCATCATCATCATCATCATCATCATCATCATCATCATCATCATCATCATCATCATCATCATCATCATCATCATCATCATCATCATCATCACATCCTCATCATCCTCATCCTCTCATCATCAGCAGCAGCATCAGCATCAGCATCAGCATCAGCACCACCATCATCATCATCATCATCACCACCACCACCACCATCATCATCATCATCCTCATCCTCATCTCATCCTCATCCTCCTCCTCATCCTCATCCTCATCCTCATCTCATCCTCATCCTCATCCTCATCATCATCATCATCATCAGCATCAGCATCATCATCATCATCATCATCATCATCATCATCATCATCATCATCATCATCATCATCATCATCATCATCATCATCATCATCCCCTCCTCTGTCTTTATCGTGCTTCCGCTCCTCCTCGACATCTGAGCCCCCTTTCTCATCCCGTCCTGTCTCCTCCGCCCCTCGTCCCCCACCCCCCCCATCCCCCCCCCTAGTAGCCGCCTTCGCCCTCGTCGTCGCCCTCCATACCCGTCGTCGTCCTCACAGCCTACCTCGCCATGCCGCCACAGTCGACATCTCCTCGTCGTCGCAACCGCCGTCGGAGCTGGCGGCCGGGCTCGCGGCAAATTTCCGGTAGGTCCACAGCACGTCGCGCCGCGGCGACGGCGCCGGCGCCGGCGGCATGGAGGACCGCAGCCTGGCGGCGACTGCGGCGACGATAAACGACGGCCACGGCGGCGGCGACGACGGAGGTGATGACGGCGGTTGCGGCTGCGGCGACGCAGGCGGCGGCGACCACGAGGCCGAGGACGAAGGGAAAAGCGGCGACGAAGGCGAGCACGACCCGCGCGACCCGCGCGAATGGGAAGATGAGGCGACCCGCGCGACCACCAGTTTCCAGCCTCTGCGCAGTGGTAACAGGCGCGCGGACACCGCGAACTGGACGGCACTGTCGACAAGCGGGAGTGCGAACAAGCCCCATGCGGGAGAGAGGCTCGATCTTGCGCTCCAAGCCTCGGTCGCGCCCCGCGCCGCGACGCCGAGAGACGCTGTGCCGAGAGGCCGCGCGCTCCACAGGCGCGGCCAACCACAGCAGACGGGTGGCCGACCGAGGCGCAAATGGCGTGTGCAAGCGAAAGGGAAATGACGGCCAAGGCCGGGCAGCACAGCGCGACCCGCGAGGGTCGCGCCTGGCGCCGCCCACGCGCCAACGCCGCCGCCAGCGGGCTTGGCGCCCAGCGGCCCCTCACCGCGCCGCCTGCCGCCTGTTCGCCTCGAGCCGGACCTCGCCAGTCCTGCGATTGAGCAGGCGTGCCTCCTCGTCGGCAGCCGCCTCCGCGGCCGCCTCGGCCGCCCGCCTCCCCGCGGGGTCCCCCGCGAGCGCCCGCCGGCTCCAGGCGCTCCAAGCCGCCCGCCTCGGCGCACCTGGCGCCTTGGACGTGCTCCACGTTCGCGACCAAGCGCTGACTTCTGCGGGCCGCGATGGCGCCCAGAGACCAGCGGCGTGAGGGCATGGCTTCTACCCTCTTGCAACTCGCTCGTCGCTGTCCGGCGCCGCTCCGAGCCCAGCCGCGGCGCGGCGCGGCGCGACGCCAAAGGCTGCGGCCGCTGCGGCGCATGGCCTTCGCGAGCACGTGCCCCCGCAGTGGCGCGCGGCCTCCGCTGAGCGCTCAGCCTGCGCCTACCGCGGCGGTGGATCTCCGCCAGGTGCCCCCGCGCCAGGCGCCTGGCCTCCGCAGCGCGCGTTCTGCCGCGGCCATGGGCTCGAGGCCGCCACAGCGAGCCAGAGCCGCGGCTGCGCGCCCAGACTCCGCGCGGCGCCGTGCCTCAGCCTGGCGCATCGGCCGTCGCTGCGCGCTGGGCCGCGGCGTCTGCCAGCGCGCTGGGCGCCGCGCCGTGCGCTTGTCCGCAGCCTCGCAGCTGGCCTTGCCTTGTCTTGTCTTGCTGGACCCTGCCCTTGCCGCGGCCTGTTCCGTTCACCTGGCCCTGCGCCGTCGCGACGCGCATTCCGCGGGGGAGCGGTGACGTACCTTAGCCATGGCATTGGCCAGGTCTGCGGGGGTGGGGAGGCTCGTGTGGGCGCGCGCTAAGCGCCGCGAGCCTGCGCCTTCGTTGCTAACTCCGGGGGCTGTGGCGCCGCGCTTCTGCGTCGTGCCGATGCCGAGTGCGCCGCCGTGCCGTCGCACCCTCGCGGGCCGCGGTCAAGGCGTCGTCTGCCATGGGTTTCGCGCGCGGGCCGAGCCAAAACTGGCCACGGCTGCTGGTGCTGCTGAGGACGATGGTGATGAGGATGGTCGGGCAGTCTTCTGGAAGCGGACACCGCATAGCACAGTGATGGGATACATTGCCGCTCAGGGCAGCCTGTGCGCGCCCAGCCGTGGGCCCAACTCGGCGTCCTGCACCGCCGACAGCACCAGCTAGGCCATGCGCGCGGTGAGGGCATTGGACACCTTGGCCGAGCCTTATCGCGAGAAGTCCATGCTGAGGCGGCTGAGCGGTTTGCCAGGGAGGACAGCGGTGCGCCGGTGATGACTGCGGTGATGACGAAGATAATTCTCACAGAATGCAACAGCCGCGCCCAGGTCCTCCCTGGCGGCCCTCGCAGCGCGCCGAGCTCGTCCGAGCTTGGCGCAGGCCGCGTCTTCAGCTTTCAGGCGCCGCGGGCAACTGCCGCAGTGAAAGGCTGCGTCGGGACTCCAGAGAACGGCGAGACCCCGATCCAGTTCATATGCGATGGCGATGGCGATGGTGGTCGTGATGAGAGAGGAACAGAATGAGGATGAGGAGGGCTACATGCGAGGGATTCTGACGACGCCAAGTCGGACCCTCCGACCGCTCCAATGTTCTCGGTGCGTGGGCCCTGGAGGTCTGGACAACGCTAGGGCTGGTTCTTCGTTCTGAAGTGTTTTGTTGACGGTCCCGAAGCCCAGCGAGGACCCCGGAGGCCGAAAACGGCCGAAAACCTGCCGCTCCAATCTTCCGGAGCCTGGGATCTCTGGGGAGGAGGAGGAGGAGGAGGAGGAGGAGGAGGAGGAGGAGGAGGAAGAGGAGGAGGAGGAAGAGGAGCAGGAGGAGGAGGAGGAGGAGGAGGAGGAGAAGAGGAGGAGGGAGGAGGAGGAGAAGAGGAGGAGGAGGAAGAGGAGGAGGAGAGGAGGAGGAGGAGGAGGAGGAGGAGGAAAGAGGAGGAGGAGGAAGAGGAGCAGGAGAGGAGGAGGGGGAGGAGGAGGAAGAGGCAGAGGAGGAAGAGGAGGAGGAGGAGGAAGAGGAGGAGGAGGAAGAGGAGGAGGGAGGAGGAGGAAAGAGGAGGAGGAGGAAGAGGAGAGGAGGAGGAGGAGGAGGAGGAGGAGGAGGAGGAAGAGGCGGAGGAGGAGGAAAGGGAGGAGGAGGAGGAGAGGAGGAGGAGGAGGGAGGAGGAGCAGGAGGAGGAGGAGGAGGAGGATGAGGAGGAGGAGGAGGAGGAGGAGGAGGAGGAGGAGGAGGAGGAGGAGGAGGAGGAGAGGGAGAAGGTCAGATCGTAGCATCTCAGACGAGGGAGGCACGCCGCCGAACGCCCGCTGGCCTCAGCCACAGAAGGGCATCACGCCCTCGGCGCCTGCTCCTCGCCCGGCTGCCCGGGGCGCTCCGGGAAGCAGCGGCGGCCGCTCGGGGCGACTCCAGCACCCCCGGAACGCTCTCGGCATGGCCTGGTCGCGGAGCTAAGCTCCCCCGACTTACGCGCAGGCGGTCTAGGTGAGGCCGCCTGAGCCCGCTCCGTGGCGGCAAAGAACGACCGGCAGAATCAGATCCCGTGGTCGAGTAAGCTGGGCACGGCGACGCATCGGTCGGAGCCGCCTGACTCTGGATCCCTGGCTCGGCTGCAGTATAGGGGCTCGACCACAGGAAGCCTCCCGCAAGAAGCCCAACCCTGAGACCCCAGGACGTCCACTGCTTTTGGGGTGCGGGGGGTGCCCTGGAGCAAGCACGGTGTGCCTCTTGGCATGTGGTCTGCACTGTAAAGGCGTGCGGGGAGGGCGGACAAATTCGGGGGGGGACATCGGCCCGGAATCGGCGAGACGTCGCCAGTATACATACATACAGATTTATAGATATATAAACGTATGTATACATCTGTGTATAGATATATAGATACACATGTATGGGTGTAATGTGTTTGTATGTATGTATGTGTGCATGCATGCATGCATGCATGCATGCATATATGTATGTATGGTTGTCTGTATGTCTGTCTGTCTGTCTGTCTGTCTGTCTGTCAGGCTGTCTGTATGTATGTATGTATGTATGTATGTATGTATGTATGTATGTATGTATGTATGTGTGTGTATGTATGTATGCATGCATGCATGTGTGCATGTATGTGTGTATGGGTGTATGTGTGTATATGTGTATGTATGCATGTATGTATGTATGTATGTATGTATGTATGCATGCATGCATGTATGTATGCATGTATGTATGTATGTATGTATGTGTGTATGTATGTATGTGTATGTATGTATGTGTGTATGTATGTATTGATGCATGTATGTATGTATGTGTGTATGTATGTGTATATATATATGTATATATACATGTATACATGTATATGTTCATGTATCCATATATCGATACATGTTTATACATCTGTATATATGTGTATATGTTTAGATCGAGCATGGCTTCCTACAGGCGGAAGTTGGAATAACAATGTACACACAAACTGTCAACACAACTCCAAAACTATTATTGCATACTCCTCCTGTAGAGGGACATGCCCGACTTAAAGATAGGCAGTAGGCCCCCCACAGCAAATCCGCAATCTGCTGGGCGCGGTGGGCCATCGGGTCCCCATGGGCACCCCTGGAACACTCTCGACGAGGCGCAGCTTGTGGAAACCACCTCGGGCCGCAGCCGACAATTTCGAACACGTCTCTTGCCACCCACCCTGAGCCCATCCTCCCTGGGGGGGAGATGCGACTTTGAACATAAACATCCTTCCCAGGCCAGGTCATAAAAATTGATGAACGCATTAGTGTAGCGCGCGTGCAGCCCAGAACGCATAAGGACATTACAGACCTGTTGTTGCCTCAAACTTCCCGGCGCTAGACACGCAACGTCCCTCCAAGAAGTTGGCAACGTGACAGAAGTTACGAAAACAGTTTAGCAGCGTGAGGTCTCGCTCGTGAACCAAAATAACCGAGACGAGTCCTCCTCTCGTTGCCCCTGGGCCGCACCCAGACATGCGGTGTCATGATTGCTTCAATTCGGGATCCCGGCACGTCCCGACCCTTTTCCCAGGGCTGGTTCCTCATCCCGGGTCGTTCGTGGACCGTCTCGAAGCTTGGCGAGGGCCCCCCGGGACCGAAAACGGCGAGAAACTGCCGGTCGCAACCTTTGCACCACGTACGCGAGCATGTCCGACCCTTTGCCCTGGGCCGGTGTTTCCTCCCGAGTCGTCTGCGGACTGCCCCGGAGCCCGGCGAGGGCCCCCAAGGGGCCGAACACGGCAACAAGCTGCCCACCGTGATCTTGGCACCACGCGAGCACGTCGGGGCACCGGGGGTCGACGTTCCCCGCCCTGCAGAGCCTATCCCGCCCCCCCCTCGCGTCGTCGTCGTCGTCGTCGTCGTCGTCGATGTCGTCGTCGTCGTCGCCGTCGCCGTCGCCGCCGTCGCCGTCGCCGTCGCCGTCGCCGTCGCCGTCGCCGTCGCCGTCGCCGTCGCCGTCGCCGTCGTCGTCGTCGTCGTCGTCGTCGTCGTCGTCGTCGTCGTCGTCGTCGTCGCCGTCGTCGTCGTCGTCGTCGTCGTCGTCGTCTTCGTCCTCAGTCGTCGTCGTCTTGTGATTCTGGTCGTCGTCAACCGCCGTCTTGTGATTCTGGTCAGTCGTCGGCGGCGAGCCGTCTTGTGATTCTGGTCGTCGTCAACCGCCGTCGGTCGCCGTCGTCCTCGTCTTCGTCGTCGATGGCCGTCGCCGTCGCCGTCGCCGTCGCCGTCGCCGTCGTCGTCGTCGTCGTCGTCGTCGTCGTCGTCGTCGTCTTCGTCCTCAGTCGTCGTCGTCGCCGCAGCCATCGTCGTCGTCTTCGTCGATCGTCGATCCTCCTCGTCGTCGATCATCGACTGTTTCGGGCGTCGCCCGAATTTGTTTCTCGCGAGGTCAACTGACTGAACTGCACTGAACTGAACTGAACAGACTGGTCGCACCCGTTACGCGACGGTTCTTTCTCGGCCGCCAAGAGCGCAACCTATGGCGCAACCGATGGGAGACGGTTATATTCTCGGCCGCCGAGGGCGCAACCTATGGCGCAACCGATGGGAGACGGTTTTATGATCGGCCGCCGAGGGCGCAACCTATGGCTATGGCGCGACCGATAGGAAACCGAGCTGGAGCAGGGGGAAGACGAGGAAGACGAGGAGGATGAGGAGGGCGAGGAGGACGACGACGACGATCAGGAAGGAGAGGAGAACGGGGAGGAATGCGAGTAGTACGAGAACGAAGTGTGGCATTCGAATGCGTGCGGGGCTACGCCCGATTCATGCTCGCCGCTTGGGCTGGCGGTTGGGCCAAAGCGGCGAGCCGTCTTGTGATTCTGGTCGTCGTCAACCGCCGTCGGTCGCCGTCGTCGTCGTCGTCGTCGTCGATGGTCGTCGTCGTCGTCGTCGTCGTCGTCGTCGTCGTCGTCGTCGTCGGTCGTCGACGTCGTCGCCGTTGCCCCCGAGACGCAGGGCCGATCCCTGGCGGCCCGCGCGCGCCGGCGCCCAGGGGGGGCCTCTCCAGGTCCACCCGCAGGCGCCCCGAGGCGCTCGGCAGCACCGCGCCGTCCTCCTGAGGCGCGCGCGGCCCCCCCGGGGAGGACGCAGCTGGGACGGATCTCGAGCGGATCTGTGGGCCCCTTCCGGATGCAGCCGCCGTCTTCACTTCGGCCTCCCCTCGCCCTCACCTCGGCCTCACCTCGTCCTCCTCCCCGCCCTCCTCCCCGCCCTCCTCCCCGCCCTCCTCCCCGCCCTCCTCCCCGCCCTCACCTCGTCCTCCTCCTCGCCCTCCTCCCCGCCCTCCTCCTCCTCCTCCTGCTCCGCCCCGCCCTCCTCCCCGCCCTCGGGGCGCGGAGGGCGGGAGAGGCCCGGCCCCCCCCCCCCGCCCCTCTTCACCTCGGCCGCTGGGGGCCGACTCTGGGCAGGCAGCGGGAGAAAGCTTGGAAACGGGCCTGGGGCACAATGCTCGGTGGGCCCCAGGCTTTGTGGGCCCTGGAAACGAGAGGGCCGTTTTTTTACCGGTTCCGTCGCCGTTTTTTGACCGGTTCCGGCTCCAGTTCCAATCCCGGAGCCGTGTTTTTACCGTTTCCGTTCGCCGTTTTTTGGCCGTTTCCACTTTCAGAGGCATTTTTTCTGAAACGGTGAAAAAACGGCCCTGCCGTTTCCGGGGCCCACAAAAGCCCTGGGGGCATGGGGAACGTGCCCGGAGCGAAAAGCTGCCCCCCAGGGAAGGGGTCCAGAGCTCCAGAGCTCGGCGTGGGGGCGCGGAGTGGCAAAAGCCACAGCTTCGGATGCCGCGGGACGACGGCAGACGACGGCGACGCCGACGACGCCGACGACGACGACGACGGCGACGACGACGACGACGGCGACGACGACGACGACGACCACGACTACAGAGACGACAGCGACCACGACGGACGACGGTAGACACGACGACGGACACGACGACGACGACCATGACGGCGACAATGATGACCATGGCGGCAACGACCACGACGCGGCTCGACGCTGCTGGCAATCGGGCAGACGACGACGATAGACGGCGGATGTGAGGGCAACGACGACGACTAACATTACGACTGCGAGGTCGTCGCCAGTGTTATGTTCGCCGTCGTCACCGCCGTCGTCGTCGCGGTCGCCCTCGTCGTCGTCGCCGTCGTCGTCGTCGTCGTCGTCGCCGTCGCCGTCGCCGTCGCCGTCGCCATCGCCGTCGCCATCGCCGTCGCGTTCGCCGTCGTCGTCGCCGTCGCCGCCGCCGCCGTCGTCGTCGTCGTCGTCGTCGCCGTCGACGTCATTAATGTGGACGTCGACGTAGTCGTCGTCGCCTTTCGTCGCCGCCGTCGTCGTTGCAGTGGTGCTCGTCGACTCCGTCGCCACACTTCGCCGTCGCCGTCGCTGCCGTCGCCGTCGCCGTCTCCGTCTCCGTCGCCGCCGCCGTCGCCGCCGCCGCCGTCGTCGTCGTCGTCGTCGTCGTCGTCGCCGTCGACGTCATTAATGTGGACGTCGACGTAGTCGTCGTCGCCTTCCGTTGCCGCCGTCGTCGTTGCAGTGGTGCTCGTCGACTCCGTCGCCACCCTGGCAGTCGTCGTCGACGTCGTAGCCGTCGTCGTCGTCGTCGTCGTCGTCGTCGTCGTCTCACCGACGCCGCCGCCGCCGCCGTCTGTCGTCGTTGCCGTCGTCGTCGTCGTCGTTGTCGCCGCCGTCCGCGGGAGGGGGGAGCGCGCGCGGTGGTCGGGGGGGGGAAGAGGAGGAGAATGGAGGAGGAAGGAGGAGGGGCAGGGAAAAGGACGCGGACGAGGAAGTAGGAGCACGAGGCGAGGGGAGGAAGAGGATGAGGAGGATGAGGAGGAGGAGGATTGTAGAACGTCGAGGATTAATGTTTGCGGTTGCTTTTGGCAATTTTGGCCCCCCCACCCCGCCCTCCCTTCGAACCCAGGGCGCACAGCTGCTGCTAGCACGGCGGTAGCGCAGACAACATATGGCGGACGACATGCGACGACGACGACGGACGGCGGATGAAGGCGGACGACGAACGACGACGAAGAAGACGACGACGACAGCGCCGACGGCGCCGACGACGAAGACTCCACCTCCAACTTCGACTCCGACTCCGACTCCGACGCCGACTCCGACTCCAACTCCGACTCCAACTCCGCCTCCGACTCCGACGATACGACGGCCTGCCCCGCGCCAGCACCGGCCGGCCCTCCTCGGGGTCGCCCGTGCGGCCCGACAGCGTGTTGCGCAGCCCGCGCAGCTCCTCGCGGCGCCGGGCCGCCCCCGCCGCGCCGCGCTGGCCGCGGCCGCCCGCGGCTTACCAGCCTGGAACATGTCCCTATCCCTATGCTGGGCACCTCCTCATCGCGATGCCAATCTTGGAGATTCCCTTATTCTTTGAGGGCGAATCCCAGAGATTGTCAGCGCCTTTTGGCGTGTCAATCTCAGGGATAGGGATACGTTCGAGGCGGGTAAGCGGCGGGCACCTCGCAGGAGGCCCCGCGGCGCCCCCCTGGCGCGGCGGCAGGTCGGCCGGGCCCTCCTCGGCGGCCTCCGGGAGGCGCGGCCTGCCCTCGGCTGCCCGTCGGCGGCCCGTCGGCGGCCCGAGCCCGGCGGGGCGCCCAGGCAAAAAAAAAAATCGCGGGGAGGCGCCTCGGAGGCGCCGGGAGGCCCTCTGCGGGGCGGCCCTCGGCGGCGGCCCTCCGATCGGCGGCCTGCGGCGGGCCTCGTCGCCGCCGCCGCCGCCGCCGGTCGCCGCCGCGGAGGGTTCGGCGGAGGAGCGGGCAGCAAGACGCGCGCCGCAGGTCCGAGGATCGAGGCTGGAGGTGCGATTTATTGGGAGGGCCTCCAGGAGGCTCCCCGTCGCCGCGAGACGAGCCGCATCGAAAGTCGAAGCGAAACGCGCCCCCGGGGAGGTACGGGGGTGCCGAGCCTTGAGGAACGAGGAGGAGGAGGAGGAGGAGGAGGAGGAGAAGGAGGAGGAGGAGTAGGAGGAGGAATGTCGCAGGCCTAAAACGGCAGAACATATGGAGAAGGAGGAGGGGGAGGAGGAGGAGGGGAGACGGAGGAGGAGGAGGAGGAGGAGAAGGAGGAGGAGGAGGAGGGTAGAAAAGCTCGAACAAAAACATCGCGCCAGAGGCTTGCCTCCAGGGACCCGTTCCCAGACCCCTGACGGCATGATTTTTTCACAACGTCGACCCCGGAGGTCTCGACCCATTCCTAGGACCGGTTTCTCATCCTGAATAGTTTTTGACGGTCCGGAGGTCCGGAGGCCGAAAATACAATGCAAAACCTCCCGTCGCGAATTTTTCTCAACGCGAGGGGGTCTGTGTTTCGGACCCTGGGGCCGTCAGACATCGATCGAGGAGGAGACGCCAACCAGATCTGACCCCAGCAGGCGTCCAGGCACCGACGCGTCTTCACCTGGTCGGGACCCGCGGGTGGCCGGCGGAGGCACTCGGCGGTCGTCGGCAGCATTCGGCGGCATCGTCGCCGTCGTCGCCGCCACCGTCGCCGCCCGTCGCCGTCGTCAGATGCCCAGGGTCTGAGCTGGTCCCAGGACCCCAAGGGTCATGAAAAACGTGATGGCGGGAGGTTCTGCACTATTTTTGGCTTCTGGGGGCTCTTAATTGCTGGGCCTCGGGAGCGTCAAAAAAACGACTCGGCATGAAACACCGCTCCCGGGGAATGGTTCGAGACTTCTGGGGGTCGACTTTATGAAAAAATCACGACGTCGGGAGTCTGGGGGGATGGGCCCCGAGAAGATCGTTCAAGGAGGGGGGGGATGAAAGCGAATCCCATCAGAATCGGCTCCCGGAACCCTCGTGGGATCCATCCACCCGGTGCAGCGCTTCACCCCGAATCCGTTCAATTGAGGGTCCCAGGGCCCGGCCCCCGGAGACCGAGAGAGGCAAACCAAACGAACCGACTCCTCCGACCCAGCGCCTCGAACCTGCCCCCCCCCCTCCCGCCGGCCGGAGCCCGTGCTGTGCCACCCTCCTGGCCCGCGAAGTGTGCTCTCGCCCTTGTTGGCGGTGGACAAACCTCCCTTTAGTAAACCTCCCCTTAATGAACACGGCCTGGGACCGAAACCGACGGACCTGGACCCGCAAAAATGACGGCCGCGACGCCCTCTCGCGAGCCGAAAACGGCAAATTCCTCAATCGACGTGTCAGGGTCAGGAGGTCTGTCCACCCCCGACCTTGCGTTGGGCCGCGGGAGTCTTCTGCCGGGGCCTCCCGAGGCCCCCCGAGGCCTCCGGAGACCTCGGGGCGTCCCCGGGGGACCTCGCGGGGGCCTCCCATAGGGACCGCGCGCCCCGGGCGCCCAGACCTCGGGCGCCGTGCTTTTGGCCCGCGTCGTGCCTCGAGTACTGCCTCCGCGGGCCCGCTTCTGGCCAGGCCCCAGCGGGCTCCGACCCTTCCTGGGCCTCCTGCAATTGAGCAGGGACCGGCCGTCCCGGCATTCCTCTAGTCCTACCACGACATGTTCTTAGAACCCGAAGATGTTCTAAGAACAAAAACGATGTTCTTCGAACATAAACCCGATGTGATAAAACAAGACAGTCCCAACCAGAAATGCTCTAAGAACACTTCGTGGAAACCACAAAACGTTCTTAAAAACATTGCTTGGTAGTGCTATAGGCGAGCTGGGACTCTTCGCCACTGCTTGATCCAGGGGCCGCCAGAGCTCGTCGGTGCCGCCGCCGCTGCCGGTCGTCGTGGCGGCCTCACCTGGCCAGCGCCTCCGTCCTGCTGCCTGCTGCAGCGGCCGTTCCTGCCTGCGCTCCTCAGCCTCTCGTCCCCCCCGCTCGTTCCTCCGCGTCATTCTCGTCGTCGTCCTCCTCACTCCTCCTCCTCCTCCTCCTCCTCCTCCTCCTCCTCCCTCCTCCTCCTCCTCCTCCTCCCCCTCCTCCTCCTCACCCTCCTCCTCCTCCTCCTCCTCCTCCTCCTCCTGGGTCGTGTTTTACGAGCGAGCGCCACGCATCTCGATGATTGCATCGTGTGGCGCTGGCATCTCCATCCACACTCCGAGGCGGCACAGGCACTTCGCTGGCCTGGGGAGTCTCAACATGCATGGGCCGTGCCGTAGGTGGCCCTCGAGGTGTCTCCTGGCACGCAGTACGGAGGAGGAGGAGCAGGAGGAGGAGGAGGAGAAGGAGGAGGTGGAGGAGGTGGAGGGAGGATGGTGGAGGGAGGAGGAGGAGGAGGAGGAGAGGAGGAGGAGGAGGAGGGAAAGACGAGGAGGAGGGAGGGAGGGAAGGGAGGGAGGGAGGTGGAGGAGCAGGTGGTGGCTGGGATCGTGTCGTATACTTATGCCTGGATGTTCGGCGCATCCCCGCCACGTGCGCCACGCCTTTTCGGAGCCTGCCGGCTCTCCCTCGCCCTGCTCGCCTCCGCCGCGGAGCTCCAGACTGGTTCCGGCTGGCGAAGCAAGACTGCTCGGCAGCAGAGGCATTGTTAGACAAATCCTCCTCCCTCCTCCTCCCCCTCCTCCTCCTCCTCCTCTCCTCCTCCTCCCCCTCCTCCTCCTGCTTCTCCTCCTCCTCGTCATCCTTGACCTCCTCCTCCTCCTCCTCCTCCTCCTCCTCCTCCTCCTCCTCCTGCTCCTTCTCCTTCTCCTCGCTCGTCCTTCTCCTCGTCCTCCGCGTCCACCCCCTGTCCTTCAAGCAGTAGGCGTCCCCTTCTGAGGGCCACACAGATCCTCCTCCTCCTCCTCCTCCCTCCTCCTCTCCTCCTCCTCTCTCTCCTCCTCCTTCCCCCCGCTCCTCCTTCCCCCTTCCCCGACGCATCGGAGCGCCCCCCCCCCCCCCCCCCCCCGTGCGGGCTACACAGATCCTTCTCTTCCTCCTCCTCCTCCTTCTCCTCTGCCTCCTCGATACCCCCGTCGTCGAACATGGTGGGGGGGGAGCAGGAGGAAGAGTGGTGGGAAGGAAGACAAAAAGAAAGGGAGCGGGTAAGGGGGACAGGAAAGGCGCTGTCGCCGTACCCCTTCACCAACACCTCCTCCCGTTTCGCCTGTCTCTTCCCCACCCCCTCCCCCCCATCCCCCCCTCCTCGTCTCGTCCTCGTCCTGCTCCTATCTCGTCCTCCTCCTCCCCCTCCTCCTCCTCCTCCCCCTCCTCCTCCTCCTCCTCCTCCGCCTCCCACTCTACTTGCTCCTCCTCCTCCTCCTCCTACACCACCCCCTCCTCCACCCCGAAGTCTCTCTCTGAATGTCTCTGGAGGCAACCCTCCTTCCCCAGAGGCCCACCTGAGAGCTCCGGGATCCAACCGTCGCAAGGTCTCCATCCTTCTTGTCCTTCCAATCATCCTGGTCTCTCCTGCTTCTCCTGGTCCTCCTCCTCCGGGTCCCCCTGGTCCTTTTCCTGCTCCTCCTCATCCTCCTCCTCTTCCTCCTCATCTTGCTCCTCCTCCTCCTCACCATCCCATCATCATCATCATCATCATCATCATCATCATCATCATCATCATCATCATCATCAGCATCATCATCATCATCCTCCTCATCATCATCATCATCATCAGCAGCAGCAGCATCATCACCATCATCATCACCACCATCATCCTCATCATCAGCATCATCATCATCAGCAGCAGCAGCACCAGCAGCATCATATTTAGCATCGTCAGAATCATCATCATCCTCATCACCCTCATGGTCATCATCGACAGCATCATCGTTATCAACATCATCATTATCATAATCCTCATCCTTACCGTCGTCCACATCCACATCAACTTCCTCATCCTCATCCTCCCCGTCATCCTGATCATCTTCACCACAATCAGTCGTATTCTTACCATCATCATCATTATCATCATCATCGTCATCAGCATCACCATCGCCATCATCATCATCATCATCGGTATCGTCGCCATCATCACCAACACACTGAACAACACCATCACCGTTACCATCACAACCAGCATCAGCATCATTACCACCACATGCATCATCAGCATCAGTTCTACTACCACAAGCACAATCAGCATCACCATCATCTCCATCAACATTGCATCCGCCTCATGATCATGATCCTCATCATCATGAACATCATCATCATCATCATCATCATCATCATCATCATCATCATCACCATCACCTGCACTAACATCATCATCATCATCGCCATCACCGTCCACATCATCCACATCAGCATCACCATCATCATCATCATCAGCAGCATCATCATCACAGTCAATATCCTCATCCTCATAACCCTCGCCATCATGATCATCATCATCACACTCACCATCACCATCACAACCACCACCACCATCACAATCATCGTCATCAAAGTCACCATCATCATCATCATCAGCAGCAGCAGCATCATCACCATTCTCATCATAACCATTGTCGTCGTCGTCGTGGTCGTCATGATCAGCATCACCACCACAATCATTAGCATCATCACCACCATCCATCACCAGCAGCATCGTCGTCGTCAGCATCGACACCACATACACCCCCACCACCATCATGATTCCCATGCTACCCATCAGCACCACTACCCCCACCAAGAAGACCATCGCCACCGCCAACATCATCGTGACCAGGACCACCACAACCACTACCGCCAAATAGTCTCTGGGCGGGCCCGCTGCCCCTCCCGCGCGCCAGAGCGCACTCGCGCGGACGGGCGCGCCACCGTCCTGCAGCGCGGAAAGCCCCACGACGAGACCTGGAGGGACCGGCACCGCGCGGCAGCGCGTGGGGGTCGGGCGGGATGCTCCTCCCCCCTTCTCCTTGTCGACCTTCTCCTCCTCCTCCTCCTCCTCCTCCTCCTCCGCCTCGTCTTCGTCCTCCTGCTCGTCCTTCTCCTCCACCTCTCCTCGTCCTCCTCCCTCCTCTCCACAACTGCACCGTTGCTGCTCTCCTCCCTCCCCCTGGGAAGTGTTGAGAATGTCCCGCCCCCGTCGTGCACTTTTCAACACGCGATTGCAACAGGTGGTATGTTTTGCACGTTTGTCCAATCCGAGCGTTCTAGGTCCTTCCGAACTGGTGCCCCCGCTGCAGCAAGGGCCCCATTGTAGGACCGCGGCTTTGCTCCCGTTGCTCAGAATGGCGCTCTTGCCCCAGCGCGGGAAGCGTTTCTGGATCCAATTCCTTCCTCATCGTTCTGGCAGAAGCGGGGTTGGGCGAAGAAGGTGTCGCTCCAAGGAGGCATGGCGCTTCTTAGAGGGGCTCGGGGGCTTCTCGGAGGCGCGAGTGGCTTCTCAGCAACCCCCATGCCCCAAACACTTCCTGCGCGCCGCCAATGCTTCCCCCCCCCTCGCATCCGCCTCCCCTACCACCCCCTCTACCAGGAGGAGAGGAAAGGGGGAGGATAATGGGGGATGAGGAAGGTGAATGGGGAGAATGAGGAGGAGAGGGAGGAGAGGGAGGAGAGGGAGGAGTAGGCGGAGGTGGACGGGGGACAAGCTAAGAGCGGTCGCGCCGCATCCGACATCACCCCCCCCCTCGCTTCCCATTGTGCTGATGTGTTCTCTCTCCGCGGACGCGTGCCATACAAGACCCCATCGTGTGTTGCACAATCGGGAAGAGGAGCTGCGTACATAAAAGGATGATGAGGAGGACGACCAGTGCAAACACAAGACTCACCAACGATATTCCAATCAACCTTCTCTCCAAGTTCCCTCTTCACAATTTTCTATCAATATCGATGTCCACTGAAGCAATGGTCCCGTTGGAAGACAACCGCTTGAACATCCCGAAGCGGACCAAAAACATCATCCCTGGGACTTGAACGCTGCGTCACTGCTGCGTCACGATCCTGAGCCGTGCCAGAACACAACTCCTGGGACATCAAAGCCGCGAGTTCACGCGACGGCTGCGCCCGGGCCATCCCACGCCGCGCCCAGGAGCGTCGCTTCCGGGACGTCAGCCCGCAAAGGTCTTTGTCCTCCACCCGTGACGCGCTCTCACAAACGTTTGAGGCGAAGGCGCGCGGTGCTAAAGGCGAGAACCGCGTTTTCAAACGGACCCACCCTGCATCTGCGAAGCTGTCGCGAACTTGAAAAACGAATGTGCGCGACGCTGGTGCGAAGGCCAAAATTTGAAGGCGGCCCGCCCTCCATCCATGAAACCCTTGCACACTTCTGAGAACACTAATGCACGCGACGCTAAAGCGAGAACCACCTGGTGAAGACTGCCCACCGTCAATCCGTGAAACTCTTGCACATGTCAAGCTTCAAGATCATAAATGGTGAGGAAGTCTCAGGCAAAACGCCCAGCCCGCCCAACCGACATGTCTCGGGGTGCGACTGGGAGGACTTACCCATGAGGATGATAAATGAAGGAGAAAGTGGCGGGAGCAAGAGTATGTGAAGGATGGAATGGAGGATGAAGGATGAGGGCGAGGACGAATAGTAGCAGCAGGAGCTGGAGTGGAAGGAGCGGGATGAGCAGAGGACCAGGAAGAAGGCGGAAGCTGGGAAATGAGGGGAGCGACAACGATGAGGAAAGACTCGGATCCAGAAAAGCGGCCCGCGCTGGGGCGACGGAAGCAGAGCGCCGATCCCAAATTGAGGTCCACGCTGCAGCGGCAAAACCACGCTGAAGGACCAAAAACGTCTGGGGCCACTCCAAGGCCAACTTCGGGGTACAGTTAGGTCGGGCATTTCAACCTACAGGCGGATTTTGGACGAAACATGAACATGCCAACAAAAATACATAAGCAAATATTCAAAAATAGGATGAGGGCGAGGACCATGGTGATGATGAGGGGGGGATTGGGACGATGAAGGGGAGGGGGAGGAGGAGGAGGAGGAGGAGGAGGAGGAGGAGGAGGAGGAGGAGGAGAAACATGAGGATGAGGAGGCTCTTCCTCCCCATCCCCCTCCTCATCCGGAGCGCCTGAACGAGGAGGGCAGTCTCGGCCAAAGTCTGATGCCCTTGCCTCCTCATCATTCTCGCCTTCCCTCGGCTCTCCCCAGGTCCCCCCCCTCCCCCCGGCGCGTGCAGGCCGGAGCCGCTGCGCGCGCGCGTGCTCGCCTCGGCGCCTCCGCGTCCGGAGGAGGGCTGCCGAGGTTCGCCCGCGCTCGTCGCCCACGCACCCCGGCGCCCCGACTGATACTCCCCACGACTCCTCGCCCTCCTGGCCATCGCTCGGACGTCCATTCCCTGTGCTTTTTTCGGTTTCGTGCGTGGTTTTTCGCTGAATAATGAAGGATGCTCCTCGATGGTCCTCGCCAAAAGAACCATGCACACGTCCGAGCGATGCCAAGCCTCCCCACTCCCTCTGGAGGAGGTGTGCAGCGGGGGATGGCGAGGAGGGGAGGAAGAGGGGGGCCGGCAGCGCGCGCAGAAGACGTGGTGCGGGCGGGGCGGGGCGGTCCTCCAAGGGGCCAGGGGGGGGGGCTTCCCGGGAGGGCTCGGCGGCTCCGAAGCGGGCTGCCTGGAATGCGGGAGGGCCTCCGATTGGGAAGGCGCCTGGCCTGCTAGAAGGCCGCCCCAAGCGCCCAAGAAGCCACAGAGGAACGCTCCGATCCCGGGGCCTCAGTGGACGACGGCGACCAGAGGCCTCCGAAGGTCTCCTCAGGCCTCCCGAGACCCCCAGGGTGGTTCCTGGAGGTGTTCGGTGGCCCCGAGGAGCCCACCAGACGGCCAGACAAGCCTCCACCAACCTTGCTCCTCGAAGCTCGCGCCGACGGCAGCTGGCAGAGGCTGCCGAGGGCCGCCTCGAAGGCCCTGGGGGCCGCCTATATGAGGCCCACAGCAAGTCTGCGGTAGGCCCACGGCAAGCCCATAAGAGGGCTATAGCAGGCCAGCGGGGCGCCTACAAGACGCCTGCTGGAAGGCCATCGCGGCCCGACGGGCAATCCGGGCATAGATCTCTGGTAGACCTGCCGGTCGGCCACGGTAGGCGTAAAAACGGGCTGTAGCGTAGGCGGCCCCAGAGGTGACCCGTAAGAGGCTATGCTGAAGGGGCCCCAGGACACACAAATAAATACACACAAACAAAAATATCCCCCATAGTTTCCCATAGTAGTCTCTCGGTTTTTTTCTTCCCCCCCCACTTCCCATATTTTCCCATATTCTCCTGGGAATCGAGGATTCCTTGTGTCTGTGTGTTTCTTCCCCTCCTGAGCTATGCCTGGGCCCTCGCTTGGGCTCCTCGAGTGCAGGCCGCCGGGGCTGCCCCCGCCGGGGGGGGGGGGGGCCGCCGGCGCGGCGAGGGCGGAGGGCCTATGAAGGCGACCGCCAGCGCGAAGGCCACCGTCACCAGCACGGCGGGCCCGGTGGCCGCCGACCGGCTCAGGCGGCCGACACCTGGCGGCAGCCGGCGGCGTCGTCGACGTCGACGTCGACGTCGTCGACATCGTCGTCGTCCTCCCCCTCTTCTTCTTCTTCTTCTTCTTCTCAGTATTCTGTTTCTTATCCTTATTATTGGTATTGTTTTTATTGTTCCTCTTCTTCCTCCTCATCTTCCTCCTCCCCCTCCACCGACACTTACATCTTCACCTCCTCCTCCTCCTCCTCCTCCTCTCCTCCTCCTCCTCTCCTCCTCCTCCTCCTCCTCCTCCTCCTCCTCTCTCACTTCAGTCACTTACTCTGCTCCCCCTCTCTCCTGCTCCTCCCCGTTCTCCCCCCTCCCCCTCTTCCTCCCGCGCCTCCGCCCCCCCGTCCTTCTCCTCTCCTCCTCCTCCTCCTCCTCCTCCTCCACCACCTCCTCCCTCCTGCCTGGCAGCCGCGACGACGCCGACAACGAACGCCGCCGCCGACGCCGACGCCGACGCCGACCGTGCGCGCCTCTGCCCGCGAGGCGCACGCGCTGCACCGCCCCCCGCAGTCCTCCCGCGGCGCGCGCGCGCGCGGCCGGCGGCGGCGCTGCGGCGGCGCTGCGGCGGCGGCGGCTTCGGCGGTGCGGCGGCGGCGGCGGCAGTTGTCGGTGGCCCGTCGCTGGCCATCGCTCGGACGTTCATTCCCTGTGTTTTTTTCGGTGTCGTGCGTGGTTCTTTCGCCAGATGATCAAGGATGCTCCTCGATGGCCCTCGCCGAAGGAAAAATGCACACGCCCGAGCGATGCCAAGGTCGTGGGCGGTAGGAGCCGGCGTCGCCGGCGCAGGCGGCGCGGCGTCGCGGGCGTCGGCGGCGCGTCGTCGGCGGCGCTACGGCGGCGGCGGCAAGGCGTCGCCGGCGTCGGGCGGCCTCTTCGTCGGCGGCCCCCGTTGAAAGGGGCGCGGTGCGGTGCCACGGCTGCATCTCCGCCCCGTCGCCGGCGGCGGGCCTTGGGTCGTCCGCCCACGAGGGGGGCCTTTCGGCCGGCGTCGTCGGCGGCATCGCCGTCGGCGACTGCGGCGGCGGCTTCGGAGGGGGGTGAGGAGGGGAATAATTCTGGGGAGGAGGGGGGCGACGGGGAGGGAGGGGAAGGGAGAGGAAGAGGGGGGAGGCGACGGGTGGAAAAGGGGGAGGGGGAGAGGAGGGGAGGAGAGGAGGAGGAGGAATAGGAGGAGCAAGGTTAGAATGAGGACGAGTAGTAGGAGGAGGAGGAGGAGGAGGAGGAGGAGGAGGAGGAGGAGGAGGAGGAGGAGGAGCATTGCATTGCATTGCATTGCATTGCATTGCATTGCATTGCACACGGTTGTTGGACGAATGAATCTATGGGGGACTCCACTCGCGAACACTGAGCTACAGCTGACATCAGCGGCAGGCGGTCGTGCCAGGCCGAGGGGACCGAAGAAGCCGAACAGGGGCCGACCGAGGGGACGAGCGGGCCGAGGCGACCGAGGGGCCAGGCCGAGCGACGAGAGGCGAGGAGAGAGGCGACGACAAGGGCAGGCCCTGACCAGTAAAACAAACTTATAGCATGTCCGCCGTCCACACCCGAGGTGATTCATATGGCCAGGTGCACACGGCTGCGCTGCCCAAGCTCTACCGCCAGGGCACAGTGCGTGCACACATCAGAGACTTACTAACACACAACATCAGCAGCGGCAGCACGGTGCCTCCCTCATGGTGCTCAGATCGAGTCGTCCCCCTCCGAGAGCGAGCAGGAGCAGCAGCAGCAGCAGCAGCAGCAGCAGCAGCAGCAGCAGGAACGCCCGGAGGAGAACGAGCAACAGGAGGAGGAACAGGAAAAGGAGTCGGAAATGGAAAAAGGAATCCCACCAGCCCATTCGGGCGTGAGTGGTTTAGAGCGTTTCCTCTTCCAACCCCCTTCTTCCCCTTCGGGGAGGGAATCTTGACCCTCCCCCTACCCCCTTCCCCGGACCTGGCTGGGGGGGTTCGCCACCGATTGGAGCGTCCAAGACGGCCTCGGCGAGAAGGCACAAATCCTGCATTTGACTCTGGTTTGGGGCCCATTGTGGCCTCCTGGGAGGGCTGTAATTTACTAGCCTCTCCTTCTTTGGCCGATCTCCTCCAAGGCGGCCCCAAGATGGCCCCCAAGACTCTCAAGAGGGCCCCACGAGGCCCCAAGAGACCCCTAAGAGGTCCCCGCGAGGCTCCCAACAAACCCCCAAGAATCCCCAAGAAGCTCCCCCAAGGAACCCAAGACGCTTCAAGAGGCCTCCGGGACCGCCAAGAGACCCTCAAGACGCCCCAAGAGGTCTCCAAGAAGCTCTCAAGAAACATATGAAGAGACCCCGAGATGAATCCCAAAGGCCTCTGGCCTTTCTACTCGGCCTCCTCCTCCTCCTCCTCCTCTTCCTCCTCCTCCTCCGCCTCCTCCTCCTCCTCTTCCTCCTCCTCATCCACCTGTTCCTCCTCCTCCCTCCTCCGTCCTTCCCCCCCCTTCCCCCTTCCCCCTTCCCCCTTCTCCTTCTCCACCTCCTTCTCCTCCTTCTCCTCCTCCTCCTCCGACTCCTCCCCCATCCTCCCACTCTTGGGATATGACGGTCTCCCCAACCCATTATTCCACGGCGTGCTCCTCCACATCCCTGACCAGGGCAACTCGCCTGAATATCGTTTCTGGATGGGCTAGCGGGGCTACGCGAAGTGTCTAGAGATGTTTAGTGCTGCTCCCTGTCTCTCTGTCTCTCTCTCTCTCTCTCGTCCCCTCTCTCTCTCGTCCCCTCTCTCTCTCTCGTTCTCTCTTTCTCTCTCTCTCTCTCGCTCTCTCTGTCTCGCTCTCTTTCTCTCTCTCTCTCTCTCTCTCAGGGTCGATCGGATCCCTGGCCCACTAGTTCCCAGCCCACACGTCCAGGCCCCCCGACGTGCCACGAAATGGACCCTGGCATCCCAGGACCACCAACATCCAGGATGCCTCTGACCTCTGAGCCGTCCACGAAGGATCGCCCGGAGTCGGCTGCCATTCCGCTCGGCGTGGGCGGCCCGGAGCTCTCGAGACGGCTGGCGCCCCCCTCCCGCTGCGGGCGGCGCTCCTGGCCCCACCTCCGCCCCCGCCGGACAGCGAAGACCTGCGACTACGGCGGCGGCAGAGCGCCTACGGTCGGCAACTTCTGCCCAGCACGTCGCGGCGGCGGCCCCGGCGACACGCTGTGCCCTGCGAGCGGACGGCGCGGTGCTCCGCCCCGCGGGGCGGGCGGCCGGGAACAGCTCGGGGACGTCGGCGCCCGGGAGTGGAGGCGTGGACGGCGTGCCGCGCCGCGGCGTGGCGGGCCAGAACCGGCGGAGCGACGCGCCAAGAGCCAGAGTTCTGGACCGCACACTGCCCCGAACCCCGGCTCGGGAGCGGCCAAGAGGGGGGGTGCAAATCATGACCGGCGGCATGTGCGCGGCCCAGCGGGGGGGCCAAGGACGTAATGAAATAAGAAGAAGCGCCATGAAATCTGGGGAAATATCATGGCCCCCGCCATGATATCCCCCCCCCCTAGTCATCACCCCCTCTTTTCCGCCCCCGAAGAACTCCGGCCCACCCCCGCCCTCCGCCGGAGAACCACAACGCGTCCCGGAACGCTTCAGTCGGGCCTGTCCCCCCACAGGCCGATCTTGGACGGAAAACCAAAAACGGTCGAATCATACTCCCAAATGGTAAAAAAAAATCAGAAATCGTTCCACGACTATTTCGTTTAACTTATTTTGAATATTCCCCCTGTAGAGGGACAGGCCCGACTTAACGGAACGCCTTGGAGTCCCCGAGGCGACGAGGCCGACTCCGACGACGCCGACGGTCCTCCGGTGTCCGCCGCGCCCGACACGGACTCGTCGTCGCTGTACATGGGCACCGTGGGCACCGACCTGCGCGAGGTTGGAGCGGCCCGGCCACGCGCGAGGGGGCGGACGGGCAGGAGCAGGGGACGAGGCCCGAGGGAGAAGAGAAGTCCGCCGTCCCTCGAGGGGGGCTATCGTCGTCGTCATCGTCGTCGTCGTCGTCATCGTCGTCGGTCGTCGTCGTCGTCGTCGTCGTCGTCGTCGTCGTCGTCGTCATCGTCGTCGGTCGTCGTCGTCGTCGTCGTCGTCGTCGTCGTCGTCGTCGTCGTCGTCGGTCGTGGTCGTGGTCGTCGTCGTCGTCGTCGTCGTCGTCGTCGTCGTCGTCGTCGTCGTCGTCGTCGTCGTCGTCGTCGTGGTCGTGGTCGTGGTCGTGGTCGTGGTCGTCGTCGTCGTGGTCGTCATCATCGTCGTCGTCGTCGTCGTCGCCGACGCGGTCCAGGGCACAGGCACCCACCTCGTCGCAGCACCCGAGGCGCGCCCACAAGCGGAGCAGGCGCTCGCGCCGGCGAGCTTGCCACTGGACCTCGCGCAACCCTGGCCGACACTATGCTGTGACGAGTGGGCGGGGGCCGCAGGACGTTGCGAATGCCCGCCCGCATCCCCTCCCCAGCGGTCAGGCAGACACCAATGGGAGGAGGAGGAGGAGGAAGAGGAGGAGGAGGAGGAGGAGGACAAGGAGGAGGAGGATGAGGAGGACAAGGAGGAGGAGGAGGAGGAGGAGGACAAGGAGGAGGAGGAGGAGGAGGAGGAGGAGAAGGAGGAGGAGGAGGAGGAGGAGAGGGAGGAGGAAGAGGAGGAGGAGGAGGGAGGAGGAGGAGGAGGAGGAGGAGGAGGAGGAGGAGGAGGAGGAGGAGGAGGACAGGGAGGAGGAGGAGGAGGAGGAGGAGGAGGAGGAGAAAGAGGAGGAGCAGCAGCAGGAGCGAAACGGAACGGAACGGAATGCCCAGAGGGCGGAGCGTACAGCACTGAACACCGGCGCAAGCACAGGATCACTTACCTCTGACGGTTCCTCTACTTCGAGCTCTCTCGACGAGTGCAGCCGTTCGCTGCTCGCTGCCCCTGAGGCCAGAAACGCCCCACTGACCACCGTCAAGTCAGAAACCAGACGATGACTCCGAAGGAGGCCTGCGTCTCCGCAGCGGGGAGCCAAACGCCAGAAGGACTGGCACGAAAGAGACGAAGACGAAGACGGGGACGACGGCAGCGGCGGCGGCCCTGACATCGGCTTCGTCGTCGTCGCCGGAGTCGCTAAGGTAGTCGCCGTCGGCGTCGTCGCCGTCGTATTCGTCTTCGTCTTCGTCTTTGTCGTCGTCGTCGTCGCTGTCTCCAGCGCCGCCGCCGTCTTCGTCGTCGTCGTCCGTCGCCACTGCTTCTGCCGCTGCCGTCGTCGCCGTCATCGTCGCCGTCGGCACTTGCGTCGTCGTCGTCGTCGTCGTCGTCGTCGTCGTCGTCGTCGTCGGCGTCGACGTCGTCGGCGCCGGCGTCGGCGTCGGCGTCGGCGTCGGCGTCGGCGTCGGCGTCGGCGTCGGAGTCGTCGTCGTCGTCATCGTCGTCGTCGTCGTCGGCAGCAGCGCCGTCGCTGTCGCCGCCAGCGTCGGGGGCAGCTTCGGCGGCGAAAGCAAACCCAGACTTCCATGCATCAGTTTGAAACAGTCTGGGTCCCCTGGATCACGGGCCCATGGGCCTGGCGGTCCCACGGCCTGGCGACGCCTGGCGAGGGCCTGGTCTGAAAACGCTGACGAACCGCCGCGCTGCTGCTCCATCACTTCGGAGGTCCGGAGCGGCGCCGGCGGCTCGCGTCGCCGCCCAGGGGGGCGTTCCCCGGGGCCCGCTTGCCACCCCGAGCCGCTTCCGGACAGGCCCCGGGGGGCGATGGAGGGCCCGCCGAGCCCCAAGGCAGCGAGAACCCTCCAGGACCCGCTCTCCCCTCCGGTTCCCTTGCCTTCCCAGGGGGCGGCGGCGGCAGCGCGCAGCGGCAGCGGCGTCAGCGGCGACGGCGCCGTGGCCTGGACTATCCCGATCGTGCCAGCGCCCGCGACGTCGCCATCGTCGGCGGAAGCGCCGCCGCCGCCGTCGCCGTCGTGGCCGTGGTCGTGGACGCGGTCGTGGTCGTGGTCGTTGTCGCCGTGGTCGTGGTCGTAGTCGCCGTGGTCGTCGTCGTCGCCGTCCTCGTCGTCGTCGTCGTGGTCGTGGTCGTGGTCGTGGTCGTGGTCGTGGTCGTCGTCATCGTCATCGTCGTCGCCGGCGGCAGCGCTGTCGCTGCCGCCGCCGACGTCGGCGGCAGCGTCAGCGTCGCCGGCGGCAGCGGCCGCGGCGGCAGCGGCGGCGGCGCGGGCGGCGGGGGCGGACTGGACGATCCGGATCGTGCCGGCGTCCGCGACGCCAGCGTCCCACAGCGTGGAGCCGTCGTCGAGCTCGCGCCCGCTGGCAGCCACGAGCGCGCAGCCCTCGGCGGACCCACGGAGTGCGGCGGCCCCGGGAGTGCGGCGACGGACGACGACGACGACGACGACGACGACGACGATGACGACGACGGGGGCGACGAGTGCTCTCCCTGCTGGCTCGCCTCCTTGAAGTGCGGCGACGACGACGACGACGACGACGAGTGCTCTCCTTGCTCACCCGCGTCCTCCCCTCACCTCATGTCCATCGGCCATGTTACCTACCCGTACCCTGCCCTCCGGCTCGTCCTCCTACTCCTCCTGCTCCTCCTCCTCCTTCTCCTCCTTCTCCTCCTCCTCCTTTTCGTGTGCACACCACGTCCCCATCCTCGCCCTCCCTCTGCCCCTCCTGACCCTCCTGGTCTTCCACCTCCTCCCCCTCCTCCTCCTGCAGGAGGGGACGACAGAGAGGGGATGGCAGCGGGCAGGGTGGGTCAGCGAGCCAGCCGCACACAGCTGGCGATCTCGCCCCCCCCCGTGCCGAAGACGGCCGCGCACTGCGGAATGCTGTGCCCGGCGGCGGCTCCGAAGTCAGCTGGCACACGCGGCTGACGACTTCGCGAGCCGCATCGTTCCCAAACCGCCCCCGTAGCGTCCCGCTCGATCCCCTCTTTCCCCCAACGACGACGACGAAGACGACGATGACGACGATGATGACGGCGACGAGCACGACGATGAGAACGCCGAGGACAAGAACACCAAGAAGAGGACGAGGAGGACGAGGACGAGGACGACGACGACGAGGACGGCGACGACGACGACGAACCCGCCGCCGCCGACGGCGACGTGTTCGCCGACGGCGGCGGCGGCAACCCGCGCCCTTGCCCGCGGGGCCTGCATGCTGATGCCCCGCTCGCGCCGCAGCAGCTCCTTTCCCGATGGCGGCGGAGACGACGACGAGGACGAGGACGAGGACGACGACAAAGACGACGACGAAGACGAGAACCAGGACGACCCTCAGATCAGGGCGCTGCAATTGTTTCGCGCTGGGAGTCTCGATTGTCGCATTTTTCAGGCCCCGGGACCCTCACCGATCGATCCGGCTCGAAAAATGACGCAACAAAAATCAAATCTAGGGCTCCAGTCGTGCTGGACGACTGTTCGCAACGTCGGATCTCAGGGGTGGACGACGACGACGACGACGTCAGGGAAGGGACGACGAGAGCGAGGAGGGCGAGGGCAGAGGGCTGGACGACCACGGCAAGGACAAGGACGACAAAGAAGAGGAGGATGAGTAGGAGGATGAGGAGGAGGAGGAGGAGGAGGAGGAGGACGAGGACGACGAGGCCGACGAGGCCGACGACGACGACTACACGAGCACGACGACGACGACGCGGAGGACGACGGCGACGAAAACGAGGACGAGGATGATGAGGACGTCGAGGACGTCCAGGACGACGATGAGCACGTTGACCAGGACGAGGACGACGACGACGCAAACGATGTCGACGAAGACGACAAGGAGACAAGGAAGACGTCAACGTCGAGGACGTCGAGGACGATGATAAGTATGTTGACGACGACGGGGACGAGGACGAGGGTAACGACGACGAAGACGACGAGGACGACGCCGAGCACGACGACAAAGACGAGCTCAAGAACGACGACGAGAACGGCGACGACAACGAGCACGAGAATGGATCCTGAAGGTCTTCGCGCCCCTCGGGTCCGCTGGGGGGCGGCACCCGTCTCGTCGCCACGTGCAGACGACCCGCCCCGCAATCTCATGCCGGGGGGCCCCTTCTGAATCAGACCCTCGCAAAATAAAGGCCCCAGACCCCCTCGGATCATGAAAAAATCAAGAGGGGGAAATGTTTGCTATTTTCGGCCCCTGGGAATTCCCAGGGCCCGGAAGCTTCAAACAACGACTCGGGATGAGCAGCCAGTCCCGGGGAAGGGGTCGAGATCTCGGGGGGTCGACGTTTTGAAAAATTACGACGAGGGTCTGAGGCCGGAGTATGAGACAAATCAGAATGAGGATACAGTGGGGATTCTCGGAGAGCCCGCGGGTCAGGAAAATGGGCCTTCCGGAACGCTCCGAGAGCGCTCCAGAACGCTCTGGAGCAACTTATCCTCACCCCAGGCCTGCCTGAAACGAGGATCTGGATGACGACGCCGATGACGACGACGACGTCGGCCGGATCCGCCTCGAGATCCTGCCGGGAGCCTCTCTGCTGCTTCTGCCCCTCCGAGCGCGCTCTTGACGGAGGGAGGTCCCTCCATGCGGCCGCCGGGGCGCTCCAGGAGATAGCCCCCCCCAGAAAGACAGAAAGCGCCAATGATAAGCAAAAAATGTACCCCTAACCCTTTGGGAGGGGACCTAAGTCAGGAGGGCCCATTAGGGATAGGGGGCCTTTTCTGCCGATGTGTCAGACCAAACGCCCAGATTTGTTAGACCTAATGCGACGTCTTCATCGTGATATTAGGGTTCTGTTGTTCTCGATGAGCCAGGAGACTCCCTGAAGCTCCTCCTCCCAACTTGCTTCTTCTCCTATTCCTCCTCCTTCTCCTCCTCCTCCTCCTTCTCCTCCTCCCCTTCCCTACTCCTCTTCCCATTCCCTCCTCCTTGCTTCTTCAGATGGGAGCATCAACCGCATCCTCGTGCGACGCCAGCTCAAGAGACGCTGGTCCCATCTCTGGGCCTCCAGAAAATTCCTCAACACCACGGCGGGGTTCCCGCCTTGGCTCTGATCAGGCCCGCCGTGATGAGAGTGTGGCCCAGAGCGAAGAATGGTCCCGAGGCGGCTTGTGAGGCTCTCGGCCTCTTCGAGGCCCTCCCTGCGCTGCGGGACCGAACACAAAACACGTCATGGGAGGGAGGGGGGGCGACCGTACCGAATGATAGTGGGGAGGAGGAGACGGAGGAGGAGGAGGAAGAGGAGGAGGAGGAGGAGGAGGAGGAGAAGGAAGAGGAGGAGAGAGAGAGGAGGAGGAGGAGGAGGAGGAGGAGGAGGAGGAGGAGGAGGAGGAGGAGGAGGAGGAGGGAGGGAGGAGGGAGGAAGAGAAGCAGGGGGAGGAGGAGAAGGACAGAGGAAAATGAGGAGGACTAGGACGGTGGCCTGCTTCCGAGGAGGCAAATCCAAGGAGGAGGAAGAGGAGGAGGAGGAGGAAAGATGGGGAGAGAAGGGAGGAGGAGGGTGACACGTGGCCTTTCTGTATGTGGATTTCTCAAGTGATACTGTTGCTGAGTATTTCGAGGACGCTGCTAAGATGAGTAGTTGGATTGATTTGACCAAATGCAGGACCAGTGTGGCGGTGGTTGCGGCGCCGACCAGAGGCTCGTGGCGTTTCCCGAGGCCTGGCTCGGTGCAGGAGGTGCTGCGCAGGGCTGGGCAATAAGAGGGAGCTCACAGACTATCGCCTAAAGATTCCCAGATGCTGGACAGAGAGAACCTCCTCATCAGATGTGCGGCTCTCTTTTCGGCCGCTGCGCATGTGTCTGGTTCATCCGCAGTGGTCCTGCATGCGACTGGGCAGTGGTGGCTACCAGAGGCGGCGTCGTTGAGGCGGGTCAATTTGGTGTCCGCACTTGTGGCTCTGCCTACTGCCAAGAAGGTGGAGTTCCATAGCTGTGCGTTTGGTGTTGCCCACAAAGCCCCGTCTGCCGTGCTCGCGATCAGGTGCTCGTGCATTCTGGACACGATGCGGACTCGCCGTGACGGGGGCTGGAGTGTCCATCATCGCGGCTATCCAGGCTCCACTGGGACCCATGCTGCAGGAGGACTTCCCTCCGACTTGGGTCGCCTTGTGGCAGCGGCGCTGTGCGAGGCGTAGCCCAGGCTCGGCATGCTGCCCGTTGACGCCCAGGTCCCGCCCAACGAGCACGGCCTCCAGCAGTTCGCGTACATGCTGGACCCGTACGCCGAGGCGGGGGCGGCTGCCGCCGCTGGGGCCGAGGGCCAGGCCGCGGGCCGGCCGTGGGCGTGGCCAGAGAGCGGGTAGCCCGCTCCTTCCTTGCTCCTCCCCCCCTCTTGTGCATGCTTGTGTATAGGTAGGTCTGGAGAAGGAGGAGGAGGAGGAGGAGAAGGAGGAGGAGGAGGAGGAGGAAAATTGGATATGGAGTGAGGTGGGGAAGGAAGGGGGAAGGAGTAGGAGAAGGGAGGCGGGGCGGGCCAGCCGCGGCCGAGCGGGGGGAGCACAGAAGAGCGAGCGGACGGGCGACGTGGAGCGCGGAGTGGTTCCGGACACTTTCTCCCCTCAGAGGGCCCCTCTGTCCCCGCGCCATGTTTTGTTCTGCCACCGCGCGGGGGGCCCCTCTGTCCCCGTGCCATGTTTTGTTCTGCCACCGCCGTCGGGATATCTCCGCTGCCGCGGATACCAGGTGCGGGCACGCCTGCGCCCTCGAGGACGCGCCGCGCCAGCGCCGCCGCTGCGCCGACAGACTCGGCGCGAGCCCGCTGCAGGAAACTCCCTCGGGGGCAGCTCGGCCTTCGCGGCCGGCTGCTCGAGGGTGTTCGCCCTTCGGCCTCTCCGCCTTGGCCAGCAACTGGCCGATGTCGAGCCAATCGCTCGTCCTCGAGCGCTGCGACCATCGTCTCGAGGAGGAGCAGGAGGAAGACAACTCCTTCAATGATCTACACCCTCTACCTTCCTCCTGCGCGAAACGCCCTGGTTGCCGTGCATGGACCACAATAGTGCTCTTGCCTCTGGTCCAGGGCGCATCGTCAAGATGACGTCTACTTGCGGCCTCTTAGTTATTGCGAAGGGGCGGATGTTCCAGCAAAACTGAGCAACGTCGTCTTGGCCAGCGAGTTTCAAGGCGCTGATTCCACTGGTGCTATTGGTATAAACGCCGCTACCCTTGGAATGAAGTATGACTTCCCTGAAAGCTTCCAAAAAAGAACGGTTCTTCTGGGAAATATGAACATTATAATCCGCCAGCCCCCTTGCGTGGCCATCAGGCTCCGCGGATTAGGCTTGCTGTTCCCTGCTCCAGCTCCAGTTCCCAATCTCCAATGTTACAATTCTGTGGTTTGCTTCCTACTGTGAATTGCTGAAGTCCGCGCGAGGGGGGGAACCGAAAAGGGCCCTGGTTACCATCACTGGGGGGGGGAGTTCTCAGAATTTCTGGGGGTACTGGGACACGTAACCAAATGATTGAGATTCGCGCGCCCCGAAAACATAATCCCTCCAAAATTACGCCGTGTTCGCGCCCCCTAGGCAGTAATTCTCAATTCGCCTGCTCGAGGCCATAAACTTTCGCAAAGTAGACTGTGTTCGCCGAGGCTACACTTCCTATGCAATATTCGCGTCTCCGGGGCAATACTCTTGTAAATTGCCACCGCTCGCGTTCCCGAAGATACGACCCCTCAGAGATTGAGATTCCTCGCGTCCCCGAAGTCATAAGCCCGAGTCTAGTATGCAGTATTCGCGCTTTCGAGGCCACCATCTTTCATGAAAGGCCCCCAAGACGGTACAAGAGGCCCACGAGATGGCCCAAGAGTGCTCCAAGACGCCCACGATGGTTCCAAAACGGCCCAAGGGGCCCCCAAAAGGCCCCCAGGAGCGTTCCAAGAGCACCCCCAAGAGGGGCCCAATAGGCCAACATCTGCGATGTTCCTTACGTGATTCAAGGATTTTGGCATCTCCAGTGGCCCCCGTTCGGAGTTCCGACGCTGCTTCGCGACGGCGCTCAGGCCTCACAACATAGCTCTTGCATACCCCATTATCCGAGAAAGCGGGCTGGCGGCAGAGGGCGAAACCCTTACGGATAAAAATGCGGACCTTGCTGGTGACAAGTGAATGAACCGTCGGCGTCGCAAAAGCCGGCTGCGTACGCAGAGGCCTCATTTTCTGAAGAACACAATGTCCTCAATCTGGTAACGTACATCTGGGATGTGGTGTTGTTGAGCATGCGAGCTCGTAGTGCGCGTAGCTCGTCTTGTAAGCCCATTCTTGCTTGTCGCATTGATTCAGAAATAATTGGACCAGGAACTCCTGGAAACAAGGCCCTGCGCTCAAGCAACAGGTTCGCTTGCGGTCGTTTGATGCACAAGCCAGAGTCGCACAAGTCTTCCAATGCAGTGAACACCGCGGACCCACTGATCTGCCATTGGTAGGTTGGTTGGTAATTAGCACTTATAACCTTGTGATGTTCGGACAGAAACCCTCCGTACTTACCATGGAAGGAATCTAAAGAGTGTCTCGACTCCGCGGAGATAGCTGCGGTAATTCCAAGCGCCGGAAATATGATGCCACTGCGTCTTTTCTTATACATGACGCTACCGTCTCCGTCGAAAAAACCTCCTCGCCAATGTGAGTGCACCACAGGTGCAAAAGCTGCACGTGCTTTCCGCATGGAAACACAAACTGCCCTCACCGCTCTCGAAATATTGTGTGCAGACGCTGCTGGTCCGAGTGGACATGCCTCGACTGAGCCAAACGGCTACGGAACAAAGAGCGGCAGACGGAACCTGATAATCAGGACGAGGACAACGATGATGATGCTGCTGCTGATGATGATGATGATGATGATGATGCTGATGCGTAATGAGGTCGCGGATGGAGGGACATGGGAGGATGGGCGAGAAAGCAAGGCAAGCACTGGGTAATCACGTGGATGCATCCGCGTCTGGATGTAGAACGTCGGTCTCTGGATGGCGCCGCGCCCCCAATGCATCGACGACGCGGTGCAATCGGAAGACCTCCAGGATAGGCCTCTCGAAGCTTCAAGGAAGTCCAATGGCGCCTCAGAAGCCTCGGCCCTGCGGCCCCCTTGTGGGCGGCCTGGAAAACCATGGCCTGCCGTACCTTGTGAACGGCGATGGTGCGGCGATAGCCCAAGCCTCTCCTCCTTACCTTCCTCCTCCTCCGCCTCCCCGGTCGGGCTCCTGATCCTCCTGCTGCTGCTCCTCGTCGCAGTTGTCGCGGCCGACCCCTTCCTCGCACGCCCTCCCATAC